CTTTAGCCCTAGGAAACCCCAGGATGGCCTGACCCCTACAGAATGCTGTGTAGCCTATAAACACCACCTGTGGTTCTGGGACAAGACACCATACGGGGCAACAGAGGTGGAAGCTCTCAGTCAGTGGGAAATTCAAGTCTAAGATCCCAAAACAAAGAGGAAAATAATCTCAAGATTCATGCTGTCTCTAAGAGAAAAGCAGGCTCACTTTCCCTCTCTCTGGCAAGGCAAAAACCTTCAGGAAAAAAAAAAAAAAAAAAAAGAGAGAGAGAGAAATAGGTCCATTGCTCAGAAGTACAATTTTCCTGACCCAGACAGCTGAGAGTTTTACAAGGGTGGAGGGACAAGTACCCTGCATGCACAGACAAGAATGAGGAGAAACTGAGCTTAGGTCGGCTTTACAAGTCTCATGTACATACACTATTACTAGATCTCACCCAGCAGACATGAGGAGCCACTCTGCAGGCTTTCCACAGGAAAATGGCTATGTTATGGGAAAAGGATCAGGCAGAAGAGGTGGGAAGGAACGCAGTCCAGACTACTGGTGGCTAGGCCTTGATGTAAGGTATTGAGTAAGGCATGGTTAGAAGTAAGGATATTCAGTAAGATAAGATAACCAGTGAAGGGGCTAGCAGGTGGTGGTTAAGGGCATCAGACTCCCACATGGTCAACTGTGGTCCAAGTCCCGGACCTGACAATTTGCTTTCTCACTTCCCCTCTCTTTTTCTCTCCCTGTCTCTCTCTGGTCAAATTAAAAATAAATAAATAAATAAGTAAATAAATAAATAGATAGATAGATAGATAGATAGATAGATAGATAACCAATGAAATGTGCAAGGAATCAAGGTGATTCCCAGATCTCTGGCTTAAGTTACAACTAGGCAGAAGGTAGCTGCCTCTCCCTCAGTCCTCTCTCTCAGCAAAGTTTGTTCAGACCAAAATCCTTGCCTTTATCTTTGACTCCTCTCTTCCTCTCACACCCACATTCCATCAAGTTAACATTCATTCAACAAATATTCATCAAGCAGTGTTCTAGGTGCAGGGAATGTAGCAGTGAACAAACCAAAAACACTTGCCTTCCTGGAGCTGTATCTTCCAGAAGTGGGAACAGGCAACTGACAATAATAAATAAGTAAAATGCCTCATATATTACATCATAAGTATTAAGGACAGGAGAATTGCAATCTCAGATAAGTCTGTCAGCAAATTATATTGATTCTATCCTCAAAAAAATTCCAGAGGTCCAGCCACGGTGGCAAACACTGCTAAGATACTGCACTCCATAGACTGGGACTACATGGGAGATCTAGGTTTGATTCCTGGTCTAACCTAAAGGCCAGGTATGACACACGCCTCTCATTCAGGTAGGAGGCTGAGGTAGTATTATGACATAGTGAAATCTTGTCTTAAAAAGGAAGTCCTTGGGAACCAGCAGGTGGCATGATGGTTAAGGCGCTGGACATTCCCACATGGCCAACCATGGTTCAAGTCCTGGACCTGGTGGCTTGCTTTCTCACTTTCTCTTTCTCTCTGTCTCTCTCTGGTCAAATTAAAATAAATAAAATGAATAAATAAAATTAAATAATTCTCTAAAAAAAAAATAATGTTAGAAAGTCCAGGGCCAGCAGGTAGTGGTGGTGAAGGCAACTGGATTTCATGTGGCCGACTGAGCGATAAGTGATTCAAATCCCAGACCTGGCAGATACATGTATGTGCCCAAAATCCCAAGAAGAGAATGAAGGAGAAGGGATTGTGGCATGGCCTTCCCCGCTGAGGGATGATTTCTTACTTTCCTCCTCTCCCTGTCCCTCCAGCAAGTACACGTGCCCTACAGCAAAATAAGCAAATAAACATAAAAAGAAAACCTACAAACGGACTTAATACACTATCATGGTCCAAGCCACTATCATCTCTCAACAGCTTCCTATTTTTGTAGTAGTCTGACTGGTCTCTCTGCTCCCACCCCTACTCCCCTATAATTTTGTCTATGTTTTGTATTTTAGAACTTAGGATAATGTCTAGTACATTATAGGCACTCAATACATATTTGTCGAATAAATATAAGGAAAAAAAAAGTCTGATGGGATGGCAAGAAGACTAGAGAAAAGGGAGAAACTGGATGAGTGAGTTTAACATTGAATGAACCTCTCTCTGTAAGCTGCATGTAGAAATAGGCAGTTGGTAGAGAATTCATTAAGCAAAGAGAACTCAGGGTATAGCTCAGAAAATCAGCTAGGAAAAACAGGACTGGACATATAGTACAGACTGGCTCAGAGAAGCTAGGACAGAACCTTGGAGAACACGAACATTTAAAGGAAAGACAGATGAAGTGGAGCCAGAGAGGAGACTAAGAAAGAATGTGCATAAGAACAAGAACATAAAAGAAAGTGTCAGAAAAGCCAAAGCAAGAAAAGGTTTCAAAAAAGAAAGTGGGTAGACCCAGCTGTAGCAGCCTGCATTACTGGGTGCTGTCCTCTGCAGGCCAGGACCACATGGAAGGCCCAACATCATGTTGCACGTTGGTAGTTCCAGCTGGGAGGCCAAGGCAGGAGGATCACTTCAGTAAGATTCTATTTAAAAAAATTAATAACGAAAAATAGAATAGAGTTAAGAGTTTTCCACATCATAGAAAACTCAAGCAAGAGCACAGATGAAAAGAAGCAATTGGACTTGGCTATTAGGGAGCCAGAGGACACACATTAGAACTATTTCACTGTATTAGTGGGTGAAGGAGCTTGACCATCGCAGGTTAAAGGATACATGGGTCAGGGTAAAGATGGGATAACAGTAAACGTGTATTTCCACACAGTCTGGTAGTAAAGGGTAAGAATATAAACAAAGGGAGAAGAAGAAAGGGAAATAACAGAAGTAGCAGTAACAGTAATATTACCAGTAACATTTATTACTAATAACTTTTATACCAGGTATTCTAGGCAACTTACAATATTAATTCATTTAATCCTCACAAAAATTCTAGGAGGTAGGTATTAACATTCCCCTTTTATGGAGAAGGAAACTGAAGCACAGAAATGCTAGGTAACTCATTTCTAAATAGATTTAAGCTCAGGGATTTGGGCTTCAAAGTCAGTTCTCAAAACGTTTGAAAGGATTGGGTAACTTCAATCTTTTCAAAAGTTGGGGGAGAGGAGTCAGCAGAATGGGAAAATTGAAGACCTAAAAGTGAAAAGCCATGCCCTACAAAAGGAGTGGTGTCAAGAGCATGGGAAATAGGGGGGCTGAAAGGGCAGCAGGGACACCTCTGCCTCGGAAGCGGGGGAGAGCAGTGAGGACGAGTAAACAGTAAACGTGTAAACAGTGTGTGGTCAGGAAGCACTTGCCGCTGCCAGGCTGTGACTTTGACGGTTCTGCTCCTGAGAATTAGAGGGGCAAGTTTTAAGGAGAGGTATGGCCCATTACTGACACTCAGGAATGTACTAGAAATGCCAAGGGCCTGTTGTGGAACAATGAAAGCTGGAGGGGGTGGAAACCCAAAGTTCATAATGGAACTAAGCAGAGTAGGTCTCTGATGTTTCCCTGGGTGTTTGGGGCTGAGAAGAAAGCTGAGGTGCAGAGAAAAGAGCTGGTTTGGCTGATGGAGAACTGCAACTGGGTAGGGTACAGAAATGACAGAGGGCACAAGGGCTGGGGACTTGAGGGGCCAAGAAGAATGGCACTGAACTGACCTGCCCAGAGATTCCAAAACAATTTAAATGCCTTCACTGCCGTGAGGAGTGGACATAACCACAAGTGTCCCTACGGCAGGCAGTCAAAGCAAGGAGAGGGCCTCGCTGCTGATCAAGAGGGCAGTGAGCTGTGGGCTCCGGGGTGAACAAGAATAAAGTATTCTGGAGGGTGAATGGTAACTGCCAAGAGAAGAGACTCATGGGAGATGAAGTTCCAGGCAGTTGAAAAAGGTTTCAGGAATGCTGAGTCAATCTGGAGACCTGGACATAGGGGTAAAGTGGGCCTGAGCAAGCCACTCAGAAATGAGCAGTGGACTTAGGGTCTTTGCAGGCAGGGGTTGTGGGGAGATACACCCCTGAGGTGTCCACTGAAATGGCAGTGTTTATGCTTATAAACCAAGGGGAGCCTGAAAGGGTTCTGGGTCTTTAAATAGCTCTCAAGGCAAAACTAAAGATCCTTACTAAAGGATTAGCTATGTAATTATCCTAATTTGGGGAATTAGAAAGATTATACCTAGGTCAATGAGGATTTGACAAATTTTACAAAGCCTACTTTTTAACTTTTTTTAATTTATTTACTTGTGATTTTCAAACCACCCTCTCGAACCCTGTTCAGCCACAAGGGAATCCAGCACTTAAACTACCATGTCACCTGCTGGCCTGCCCCTAAAGTCTACTTTAATAAGTTTCAGTTTCCTTTATAAATTTTTTTTTTTTGGAGAGGTTTTTTATTTTTATTTTTTTTGCTATAGGGCACGTGCACTTGCCAGACAGACAGAGATAGACAGAGAGACAGAAAGCAAAAAATCACCCCCCAGGGGTGATGGCCACGCCGCAATCCCTTCTCCTCCATTCTCCTTTCAGGATCTTGGGCACGCACGCACACGCGCCCGGCGTGAGCTTAAGCCACCAGGTCCGGGACTTGAACCACGGTCGCCTACATGGGAGTCCAGCGACATAGCCATTACGCTAACTGCTGGTCCGTCCTTTATCAAATTTTCATAGAGACTGAAAGTTTGATGTAAGTATGAATTTATTGACATGAATTTCCTTTAGCTATTATTCTAACACAGAAAGGGTACTGAAGAGCTGAAGACAATAATAAACCCACAAGATCTGAAGTTTGCAAGGCTCATTTTCTCCCCGAGAGAAAAAAAAAGGACAGAATATGAATAACTCTTTAAAAAAAAAATCTGGAGACTGCTTTCAATTATAAGAAGAAGTAATGACAGTGTGACAATTTAAGCATTTTATCCAGAAACATATATCTATTCCATAGATACCAAATCGATTACCATATAATTGATTTAAAATATACAAAATATTTGTTGTTCTTACATACTGAAATTAAAACCTAACCTTAAAAAGTACACAGTAAAAACAGCATAAGGAAACCTACAATATCCATGGTATATGTGTACTGTTTTCCATTTTACTGTCAACATAAAATTCCTTATTTGTCTTACTGGCTACAAATATATTTTAAATGTTTCAAGGCCATTTACAACACCACTAGTTTACTAGGTCCAACAACATTTCAGCTTCCTGAAGGCCGCCGGCGCTGGACTGGAGTCTCACCCCTGGCCCTGCAGCTCTATGCAGCAGTAGCAGCTCTGTAAAGAACAGTCGCCAACCAGCTACTTGAAAGCTATCGACTCTTGTTCTTTTTAGAATTTCCCTGTACAAAGAAAAAATATCAACAATAAGAACAGACTTCTAAAACAATAATTCACATGGGTTATAAACCGAGATGGCCGAAGACCATATTTCACTTTGGAACATGTTAGTTTCCGAGAGGAAAATAGCTGACAATCTTGCATCATTAACTTTTACTCAGTAATCACAAAGCAGTTTGCTACTTTAAACTCTCTGCAGACCTTACCCCTCCGGGAGCTGGATAAAGAAAGAAAAGAAGGTTATTATCCTGGATTTAGCAAAATCACAACCATTCATTTTGACAAGGGAGTATAAGTTTCATGAAGCTGAATAATAAATTGTAGCCCAAAGATGTTAAATACCTTTTAAAAGTCTTAATAGATGATGATTTTGAATATGTACCAACTAATACCCAGATGGCACCAATGATCTGTCAAAAGTAAACTAAAATACTGGCTGACAGCAAGTTAAAGGGAAGGTGTCTTTATGCCCAATCCATTCACATGTGGAGATTTAGACTTTGCAGTTTCACATAACTTCTTTCTGGAAGAGGTTCATTCCTTAGAAATACATCCTAATGAAAGTCCTATATTTAAGTGGGAAATGCTTGTAGAACATAGTAAAATAATACCAAATAGTTAAGGAGGTTTACTTGGCACCCAATGGAGACAATGTCAACTCAGCCATAAGACACTATAGCAATCTAAATCACTAATAAACCAGGGCAGGAGGGAGGGGTGCAAAATACTGGTATTATTGAATGGTCAAAGAAAGGTTAACAATTTTGTAAACTCCAAATTGAAGACGGGCCTCTTATTTAAGAGTTTTATTAATGCAGGTGTTTCAAGGAACAGATTAAAAAGCTGAAGGGACTTGAAAATTCCCTAACTTCCTAAGTAGCTGCAATCTAATGACCTTTGGGACAATGAGCTTTGCTGTACTATTTACCCTTCTCAATTCAAAAGCAAGTATTTCTGCAGTTCTGCAGACTGACATTTCCCTAAAATCATTTCTACTTCTTTTCAAATGTTAGGTGCTAGAATAGACTTTTTCACACTACTGTTAAAATAAATTATACAGCTCATGAGAAAAAAAAAGAAAAGAAAAAAAAACATAATTTCTCGAGTGTGTAGGATTTCTAACATGACTAGGAGTTAGATATTGCTCTGCTGGAATATCAAGAGATCAAAAGGATTAAGGGAGACATTCTTCAAAAGGACTGATCCCCCTCCCCCCTACTTCCAAGCTCCAGTTTCCTGAAACATAATAACTGGAGAACTATAATCAGAACCATATTGGCTGGTTACCATCACCACAGAGATGGCCTCGGAGACACCCTCCAAAGTAGTGAAAGGTCAATGAATATCATGAAACTACAATGACAAGCAAAATTATATAATGCAGATTCCAATGTATCGACATGATATGTTTTCCAGGAAGACCCAATTAAGCAGAGGACTACCTACACTACCACCAGCAGATGCTAAAATAAAGCCATGGTTCATTCATCTCTAATTGTTCCCCTAGTGCACATGGCAGAAACTAGTACATGTCTGCTGAATCAGTAAGTGGCAGCAGCAGATCTCAAGGAGTGCAGGCTGCAGACAGTAAATTCTAGCTAGTGGAGGTTTATTATCTTAGTTACCAAAATGTGCTACACATCCAGATGTATAGCAAAAGCATATACCCATTGTGTCAGAATAACAGAGACACAGTATGTGAATACGTATTTCAACCTACCTACCTATCTATCTATCTATCTATCTCAATCACCCACTATCCACTGCCCTGGCCTGGACAAGCAGAGGGCTTCAGGAAAGGAAATCTCTGGAATTAAAAAGGTGAGACATCCCTAGGTTACATGGATTATCTATGAGAATAAATTTTCTGATGGTCACTCTTCAACAGCACCATCTTAGATTCTGACATAAATAAAGAGCAATCTTCTCCCTAGAGTCTTTTGTGAGTCCTCCTAACTCTTAATCAACAGTAGCTGAAATGCCCAAAATTCCAAAAAGCAGTGAATATAATATTAAGGCCGTAGACGTCAGACTTTCTCAGCTCAAAGACATTTAATTTTGCTTTATGACAAGAGGACAAATGATATTAAAGAGAATGATTTAGAAAGCGTAGACTCATGTAACCTTTCGCTCCTGAAATGTGTAACAATGAAGTATCTATTATCAAATATATTAACTATTAAATCGCAGAGACTACCTCCCCCTCACATACCTTACTGGACATCTTTAGTGTGTCGATCTCCTCTCTCTGTTTGGACAACGTCTCATTCATGCTGCACAGGTGATCACTCATCATACTTAACTGATCCTCATAACTCCTCTTGGTAGTTGTCAGTTCATCCTACACAGCAAAGGAAAGGGGACAAAAGGAACAAAAGGAAAATCAAGACCCCACTACTCATATCACTCTGGAGCTTTTTTAATTCATTAAAAAAAAAAAAAGTTCAGAAAAGCAACCTATCAAGATAGTCTATCTGGACAATTAACATGAAGTACAAGACACAGGCCAAATAAGAGAACTAAGTTATAAGAAGCAGGATTTTTTTTTTCTCTGCCTTCAAAGTATGTTCTTAATTTCTTTGCAAGAAATTTAAGAATTTTCTTATATGCCAGGCATAAAATTGCTGGAAAATCCAGAAGGGCCAAATGATCTTTCCAAATCCCCTTAGGTTTTCCTGAGCCCTAAGCAGGACACCCAACAAGTTCCTACCATCCCACTGTCCCCACAGTGTAGCACTTCCTTGGAAGAAGCACCTTTCATCTTTCTTCCCACTTCTCATGCTCTCCTCAGCCCCCCTAAAATCTAATCCTGTGTTCTCAATTAATCTGATAAAATAATCTGAAATATGGAAGAAGTGAGTATTGCTATGTGATGTATTTTTCTCCTATGCTTGGCATCATGGTTTGTTTTGTTTGTTTTTAACACATTTTCTTAAAGCATGGGTATAATAAAGAAGATAACGACTAAGGGAAAACAGTTTGAAGCTCTACCTTTCAGCTTAGGTCAGTTTTATGAGTAGGGAAGAGAAAGAACAGAGTAATGTATACAGAGCAAGCCCAAAGCCCACCATGATGAAGAGGAAAGAAAGGAAGGATTATGGGTATTATGTAGGTAAATGCCAACCATAAAACACTTTTAAATGAAAATCAAGTCAGAGGAACAAACAAAACCACCACTTTTTGCCTGACATAAGTAAGATGTCACTTTAAAATGTGTTCAAAATAAAGTAGCTAGAAAAAAAGCATGTTTAAAGGTCAAATGCCATTACTTTGGAAAGAAAATGCTGACTTTGCTGCCTAAGAATTTGCAATGAAAAAACATTGAAACTGCTGAGGTAACACTTTTGAACACACCTGAAGTCTGCTGATGTTCTGACTGGCAAGTTTCATCTCTTCTGCCAACGACTCCTTAGACTTTTCAGCTAATGCCAGCCTTTTTGAGAGTGCCCGGCACTGTAAAATGTGAAAACATTCCATTACTATAGGGAGCATTTCCAAAACCAAATATGGTTCAGGGAAGGTTACTACAAAAAACACTTTCCAAAGCCAGAAGCCATTCATTCATTCCACAAATATCTGCTGAATACCTACAAGCATTACACCACACACCAGAATATGTGTAAAAAAAAAAGTGGCCCCTCCCTCATCATTTCAGTAATGACGAAAATACACCAACTCAAGCTTAGCAGTGTTTCTTTCCTAGCTCTAACCTGGTGATCAGTGGTTAACAAAAACTTTCTATATTTGTCCTTCATTTATACTTACACTGGATCCACTTACACTTACATTGAATGAAAAGTGATTATTTCAAAAGTTATCAGTGGCTTCTAACCACCAATGTGGACCCTAAGACACTTTTCTTGTGCTTCCAGCCCTTCATTAGAGACCACATTAAAGGAGCAATAAAAGTTTTACAGCCCTGCTCTACAGATAATGTTCTATCTACACAGGGGAAAAAAATGAGTGCTGGACTGTAAAGTTCTCAGCTGCTTTTTGGGGGGGTTCTACCAAACCTAGACTATCCAAAGACTATCTGTAAATCAAAAAGGAAAAAATAAAAGAAAGAAAGGGAGCTAGATAAATTCTACTTCAAACTATTGTTCAAGAGAGAGTGCAATTAAAAGGATCACTAAGGGCCAGCAGGTGGCAAAGAGGTCAAGGCAGCTGGATCCCACATGGATGACTATGAGGTTTGAGTCCTAGACCCAGTGGCTTGAAAATCACACCAAGCATGCCCAAAATCCTGAGAGGAAAATGGAGAAGAAGAGATTGCAACATGGCCATTTCCCCATGGGGTGATTTCTCATTTTCTCTCTCTCCCTCCCTCTCCCCATAGTGGGTGCACATGCCCTATAGCAAAAACTGGGAAAGAAAAAAGAAATCACTAAACTTTCTGATAAGGCCATTAAGATAGACAAGAAGGATTTGCTGAGACACATTTGAAAACTATGTCAACATCAGGCATCAGACTAACCATTCCAGTAAAGTCCTATGTTGCCAGGGAGGGTTCACCACTTCCTGTTTACAGATGAGGAAAATCTAGGGCAACTTAAAAATTCTTGTATCTCAATTATGCTGAAGACATTTACTAAAATAAGCAAATCTCTTGGAAATAAAACATCCTTAGAAATTCCCCAGTTACTCATTTCTCACAAGAAAATTTCAGGACAGTTCAGGCAACCAAATAAACCACCCGCTTGTGAGCCAAACATCAACTGTGCACAGCACTGACCCTGACAGAGAGAGACAGACTCATGCAGGCAGGTCCTCATGCAGATAACAATCAAGTCTAGGACACTAACTCAGGAAGAAGACGGGGAACCAAACAATGAGGGTATGATTATCTGCCAAACCAGGTGGCTCAGATAACTCTACAGTAATTCCACTGCAAGTGATCCAGAGAGCTGCCTGCCCCGTTCTGCATTCCATCCAGCTGTCACTATTGATCAACTTACTGAAATGGTTGCTGGCAAATGATATTGAGCTAGTATGTCATTTATTTTAGCAGGAAAAAGACACAAAGCCCTTCTTCATTTCTAGCAACTGGCCTCCTATCAACCTATCTCCTCAGGAAAGAAGAAAATAACAGATAAAGTCCCAATAAAGGGTCTTTTCTTTTTCAATTTCCTTAACAATTTTAAGCATTACACTTCTCTGTCATCTATAACTGATTGTTTAATATATAGTTTCAAATCAGAGGACTAGCAGTTGGCGTAACGGCTATATCACTGGACTCCCATGTAGTCGACTACAGTTCGAGTCCCGGACCCAGTGGCTAAAATTCACACCAGATGCATGTGCGTGTGTGCCCAAGATCCTGAGAGGAGAATGGAGAAGAAGGGATTGCGGCGTGGCCATCCCCCAGGGGGTGATTTCTCACTTTCTTTCTCTCTCTCTCTGTCTTTCTGGCGAGCGCACGCACCCTATAGCAAAAACCTCTCAAAAAAAAATAAGTTTCAAATCAGAGACCTTAAAGGTATTCTGATATGTTCAACAGCATTCATTGTGTGTGTATGCGCTCACCAGAGAAACAGAAAGTGAGCGATCACCTCCAAGAGGATGGCCACACAGCAATTCCTTCTGCATCCTCTTTGCAGGATCTCAGGCACACATGCACACACTGGGCCTGAGACTTGAAAGCGGTTGGCTGTGTGGGAGTCCAGTGATCCAACCACCATGCCGCCTGCCAGCCCCTCTTCTAATTTTCTTAAGAAAATGAATTACTTGGTAAGGGAAGAAGAAAATGTAACAAAAGAGAGATTTTATAAATTTCAAAGGTTAAAATGATTACATTTTTCATTTTATCATTTACAGAAATTCATTTCCACAAACTGGTCATTTAGAAACTGGAGACCGTTTAGGGCCAGCCTGTGGCATGGTGGTGAAGAAAGCTGGATTCCACTGGTGTGTACTGTTACCTGCAAGAGGACCCCTGCCTTGTACGTCTCTCTCCCTCTTCATCAGATTTAGTGGTGTGGTAGTGAAGGTTGATGAACCCACAGGCTTGAGGAACAAACACACCAGGCACGTGGGCATACATGTTTCAAGATCCCGAAAGAAGACGACACAGAGATAGGATTGTGGCATGATCATTCCCCATGGGGAGGTGCTTTCTCATTTTCCCTCTCTCTCTCCTTGTCTCTTGGGTGAGCACATGTGCCCTCTGTCAAATTAAAAAAAAAAATTGGAAAATGATTTTTCAAAATCAGGCACATTTTGCTTTTAAACTGGACAATATGAAACTTCCTTGACTTATGGAATGTCCACCTGTCTGTAACTTTAAAACAAGTCCTCTCTAATGATAAAGCTCCAAAACAATGTTACATGACCACGGCAAAGGCTCTCTATGAGTCTCCCAGCTGTCTTGCAGTGACTTGGAAATGTCAGATCAGCCTTATATTTACTGAAATAAAAATTTTTTGGTTGATATATATATAGAGGCTAATTGATATGAACTCCAGCCAAATTCAGACATAGAATGAATGTGTACACAGCGACTTTTCTCTTCTTGTGAATTGCAGAACAGGACAATGATCTAATTCCTGAAAGAGTTAGGGAAAAAAAATACCAACTTAATTAACTCTCCACTTACCTCAGCATAAAAATGCACCGACTTACTGTCAGCCAGCTGCAGTTGAGATGTAAGTTCTACTATCCTTGCCATGTAGTGATTTTTAATTAAGTCTTCACGAGATTCCACATCTGGAACCTAGGCAGAGCACACATCAATAAATACCAGTGAGATGAAGCAATTATAGAAGAAAAGGAAATGTTGTATATTTTCACTTGAAATTTGATGGGGAATCAGTTTTCCTATCCCTCAAAGAAACTTCATAAAAGGCAGGTAAGTATATATCCCAAATTTCTTTTATAGAGCATCCTGCGTATCTCAGATGAAGCTGAGGCTTCAGAACTGCACAGAGGTACAGCAAAGCCCACTGAAGCCATATCCCTCCAACCAACTTTTATTAGCCACAAATTTGACTCTCAACATCTTCATCTCTCTGACCCCTATGTCATCTCTAATTGGAGGGGGAAGGGAGAAGCGGTATTTATTGGAATCCCTAAAATTCAATCATTCTTTTCTCCTCAAACTGTCTTACAACTCTAATGAAATAAAACATACTAATTAAGCCATTTTTTAAAGAGCTTTTGCTACAGGACATGTGTGCTCACCACAGGGACAGAAAGCAAGAAATCACCCCCCAGGGGGGATGGCCACACCGCAATCCCTTCTCCTCCATTCTCCTCTTGGGATCTTGGGCACTCATGCACAGGCGCTTGGCGTGCGTTTTAAGCCGGGAGGTCTGTGGACTTTCATGGGAGTCCAGTGATGCAACCATTACAACATCTGCTGATCCCAAATTAAGCTATTTTTATACTGAACAGTTTATGGCCTTTGTCCCAGACTGGTATTTCTACTAGTTACTCTAGCTATGACATGCTATAGAGTTTAATTTAAAATACAGGGCCTGGCAGGTGGCGTGGTGGTTGGGGGCGCTGGACTCCCACATGGCCAACCAAGTTCAAGTCCTGGACCTGATGGCTGAATTTCTCACTTTCTCTCTCTCTCCAAATTAAAAATAATAATATAACAACAAATAAAGTTAAATAAAATAATTTTTAAAAATACATGGGGACCAGCAGATAGTGTAATGGTTACATCACTGGACTCCCACATGGCCAAGTGATTTGAGTCCTGGACCTGGAGACCTGAAACTCACACCATGTGCTTTTCCATGTATGCCCAAAATCCTGAGAGAAGAAGGGATTGTGGTGTGGTCATGCCACTGAGGGGTGACTTCCTGCTTTCTGTCTCTTTGGTGAGTACATGTTCCCTATAGCAAAAAACTCTCTTAAAAAATCCATTCAGGGCCAGCAGGCGGCATGGTGGTTAAAGGCACTGGACTCCCACATGCCCAACTATGGTTCAAGTCCCAGACCTGATAGCTTATTCATTCTTTCTCTCCCTCCCTCCCTCCCTTCCTCCCTCTCTCCCTCTCCCTCTCTCTCTCTCTGGCCAAACTGAACAATAATGATAATAAATAAATGATTCTTTAAAGAAAAAAATTAATGCATATTGGGGCCAGCAGGTGGAATGGTGGCTAAGGCACTGGACTCCCACATGGCTGACCACAGTTCAAGTCCTGGATCTGGTGACTTGCTTCTCACTTTCCCTCTCTCTCCCCCTCATCAAATAAAATAATAATAATAAATAAAACTGAATAATTATATTTTTTAAAAATGCATGCATGTCCAAGATTACCTACATTATGAGATAAATATGGAAATCAGAGATTTACCAACCTACTTGAGTTTGTCAACTCTGAGTGATAAGCTGAATGAATTCAGTGTTCATTTAATGGTTATCTATTACATCTTGGCATATTTCAGAATTCCAATGTGCAAACCTGCCCTGAGTTCACTCACTTTCAGGGCTGGAAAGAGCTACAAAGCATACTGCTCCTTGAGGCTCTGAGAAGCCCTGCTCCTTAAAAGGACTCACATGGCACATGGCCTCATTCGGTATGCCAGTGAGGCGATGGCTGAGTTGGAGCCATACCTGTCAAACTGCCAAGGTAAGTCATTCAACAAGGCAATTACAAAAATAGGCTATAATTTGTTGGTGGCAGTTAAAACAGAACCAGGGAGAAAGCAACATGAATCCATCAATGATGGGAAAAACATTGGCTTCACATTTGCTAGAACTGTCAGGAAAAACGATGGACAAAGATGGCTTTTGCAGGACTTGTCACAAACAAGCTGCAACATATTTACTAACAAACAACATGATGCCAAATCACATTACCTCACTATCGGATGTCCTGGTTAAAATCCCAATCTAGAACATAAGAAAAAGAAACCTTCAGAATAGAATATTTACATTTGAACACAATAGGTAAATCTGTAACATTATTTTCTTTTCTCAGTTGACATTGTTTTACAGAGCACTGAAGTATAGCACCAGAAGATCACCCCTATGAGATGCTGTACCTGCAGAGAGGCCGCTCGCTGCACTCACCATTTCTGCTAGACCATAACTTAGAGTTAGCATTGTTAAATCCTCTATCAAAATACTGATTAGCTAGGGCCAGCAGGTGGCATAGTTGAGGCACTGGACTCGCACATGGTGGACCATGGTTGGAGTCCTGGACCCAGCAGTTTGAAACTCACACTGTGTGTATGTGTGCATGTGTGCCCAAAACCCAGAGATGAAAACAGAGGAAAAGGGACTGTGGTGTGGCCATCCACCCTGGGGGCGATTTCTCACTTTCTGTTTCCAGCAAGTGCACGTGCCCAATACCAAAAAAACTCTCTCAAAAAAAAGTTGATTAGCCATTTTTATTAAAATCCCAAAAGTCATCTAAAAAAGGAAGATCAATTTTTTTTACTCTTGTCTTTTTTAATTTTTTAAATTTGCTAGTGGGCACATGTGCTTGCCAGAGAGATGGAGGGGGTGGTGCATGAGAAAGTACTCCCATGGGGGACAGTCGAGCCATAATCCTTTCTCTTCCATTTCTCCTTTCAGGATTTTAGGCATGCACACATATGTGCCAGGCATGTTTTTCAGGCCACTGGGTACAGGACTTGAACCACAGTCAGCAATGTGGGATCCAGCTGCTTTAACCACTACACCACTGGCCCCCATCTTGTCATTTTATGCTTATTTCCAAAGCAGAAGCCAAGAATTATTATGATGACCATAATGAACATTCTGAACAGAAAAATCTGACTGAAAGCTGAAAAGGAAGATGAATAAATAAATATACTTTGATATAATGTTATGATGACATTAATAAATATTATTTTTGGATTTAAGAAAACAAAAGTATAATTTTTAAGTACATTAAAGTGCTGCTAAGTTTTTTTCAAAACTTTTTTGTGAATTAGGAAATCAAAAACAAATAGTCATAATTACCAAATTCAAGGTGACAGGTCATGTGCTTGGGTACAATGATTTAAGGAAAATACTGGAAACTCAGTTTCAATGGATTCTGTTAATCAGAGATGACACTCAACAATCTCCACATATTCTAAATTACACCCTTAAAAGTATTATTCTGAAGAGTGAGCAGTGAATCAACTGAATATGTACTAATGAATGTCATGCCCACCTAGCTATAAAAGACTCTTCTCTAAGGCTTTTTAAAATAAAAGACTGGCCTTAATTCTCTACTCAATGAAGCAGGAATAGCAACTATACTTCCTCTTCTATTAATACTTAAAAACTGCTTATAATAACACACCAATCACTTAATTTTATACATTCTAATATGACTGCATTTGATTAAATCAACTACAAGAGTACACCAATTATACCTCCTCACCCTCACACTCTTACTTCTGGGTTATGGTTTAAAAATGTGGTACAGCACAAAGCCCTTCAAAGGTACTATATAAATGGAAGGAAAAAAACAGTTTTTTTTTTAGAGGTTTTTGCTATAGGGCACATGCACTTGCCAGAAAGAGAGAAACAGAGAGACAGAAAGTGAGAAATCACTCCTCAGGGAGGATGGCCACGTCGCAATCCCTGGTATGAGTTTAAACCACTGGGTCCGGAACTTGAACTGCAGTCGACTACATGGGAGTCCAAGAACATAGCCATTACACCAACTGCTGATCCCAGGAAAAGTTTTAACATATACAACCTTAACATTTTCTCATATGCTTTTTTTTTTTTCTTGAGAGGTTTTTGCTATAGGGCTCGTGTGCTCACAAGACAGAGAGACAGAGAGACAGAAAGCGAGAAATCACCTCCCAGAGGGGATGGCCATGCCGCAATCCCTCCTCCTCTGCTCTCCTCTCAGGATCTTGGGCATACACGAACACGTGTCCGACATGAGTTTAAGCCACCAGGTCCAGGACTCGAACCATAGTCGACTACATGGGAGTCCAACGACATAGCCATTATGCTAACTGCTGGCTCCTCTCATACGCTGTTAATGAGAGTATCAACTGATACAGCCCTTTGAGAAAATAATCAAGAAATGATCAAAGGGGGCTGGTCCCATAACGTAGTGGTTAAGGGAGCCAGATTCCACATAGGCAACTGTGATTCAAACCCCAGCAGCTTGAGAAACACACTGGAAGCATGTGTGTGTATGTGTGTATGTGTGTGTGCCTAAAAATCCCAACAGTATGGAAAAAATTGAGGAACTGTAGCGTAAGTATATTGCTTAGGAAGGTGCTTTCTCCCTCTCTCTCTCTCTCTCTCTCTCTCTATGGGCAAGCACACATACCCTCTGGCAATGAAAGAAAAAAGAAAAATTAATCTTTCTCGAGACCAGCAGATGGTGTAATGGTTATATTACGGGACTCCCACATGGTTGACTGCAGTTCGAGTCCCAGACCGACGGCTTAAAACTCAGTCAGACTCATGCGTGTACATGCCCCAAATCCTGAGAAGAGAATGGAGGAGAAGGGATTGCGGTATGACCATGCCCCCAGGGGGTGATTTCTCGCTTTCTTTCTCTCTAATGTGCACATGCACCCTATAGCAAAAATTTCTCTTAAAAAAAAAAATCATTCTCTCTTTTCAGGCTTTTGGGCATGTATGCACACACACCCGGTGTGTTTCTCAAGCCACTGGGTCCAGGATTGAACTATATAGTCAGCCATGTGGGATCAGCTGCCTCAACCACTAAGCCACAAAGCCAACCCAAGCAATGCTTTTTAACTGCAGCAAAAATGGGATATTTGTATTGTTTTGTACTTTTTCTTTCTTGAGCTCCTGCTATCTTTTTTTAAAAAAATAAGTAACAGGTGACTGAATGTTCCAACTGCAATACTAGGTATAACAAAAAGCATTAGAAATAAGTTTCTATCTGATGTTTAAAATAAAGTAATCTGGTGACTCATAAACTGAGTTTTCTTTGCTAATCAATTAACTTTAAAATGGACAGACTTACTCCCAACACCCAAGAGGCAGGAGACAAAAAGAACACACACACACACACAAACACACACACACACGACTATGAAATACGAGAGGCAGACCATGTCTTGGTTGCCTAACTCTGATTATTAAAGACAATACCTGAAATAGTAAGTCATTGAAAATGTGGTATCTCAACTGTATCCCAAACAACAGCTAGAGTTTTAAATTCAAGGAAGTCAAGGAAGAGGAAAATGGAATTAAAAGATAAAAGTATATGAGTGAGGGAACAGCAGTTGGCGTAATGGCTACGACGCTGGAATCCCATGTAGTCAACTGTGGTTCGAGTCCTGGACCTGGTGGCTTAAAATTACGCTGGGTGTGGGTGCATACATGTCCAAGATCCCGAGAGGAGAATGGAGGAGAAGGGATTGGGGTGTGGCCACCCACACGGGGGTGATTTCTCGCTTTCTGTCTCTCTGGCGAGCACACTCACCCTATAGCAAAAACATCTAAAAAAAAAAAAAAAAAAGTATGTGAGCAATAGGTTTTAGGAGTTATGAATAAAGGGATATCCAGGTAAAAGAAACAGCTTAAACTTAGGGATATAAAAATGCAAAGAACACTATCAGAGAAAAGAGTTCAGTTTGGACTAGTATGAGAAAATGGAGACGATAGAGCTAAAATGTAGTTTGAAAACAAGTATCCAAGCACCTTAGCTATGCCAAACAAATGCATTTAGACTACACAGAGCCACTTAAGAGTATGCTGGCACATAATTATTGCAGTCACTATCACTGTCAGCGGTCTACTGGTCTATTCTGGTCCCACAGTTACTCCCTGGCCACCACCATCTCTACAGCTTGCATGGTAAAAAAAGTGAAAAGAGAAAGAAACAGATGCCAGCAGGGGAGAAGAGGGGAGAATTAAGAAATCAGATGCGGGGCTGGCAGGTGGGGTGGTGGTTAAGGGTGCTCGACTCCCATATTGCTGACCATGGTTCAAGTCCCGGATCTGGTGGCTTGCTCTCTTTCTCTTTCTCTCTCGTTCTGTCCCTCTCTGGTCAAATTGAGATAAATAAATAAATATAAGGTTAAATAAAATAATTCTTAAAAAAAAAAAAAAAGAAAGAAATCAGATGCAATGGAGAACAGTCCAAGCATATCAACAAGACCCTGAAGGTCCAAAGACAAGGAAAATGTGGTGCCATTCCAAATGCTACGGGGACAGATGTCAAAATTCTTGTTGATGATCCTCTCATTACATCTGTACACTATAGCCAAGTGTTAAGCCACTGGCTTGAGGGTGAACACAGTCAATTTGACGAGTCAGAGGCAACATGCCAGGCACAGTCCTGCCATTGGTGGAGTAGGGGAGACAGTACAGGGACATCCTGAGAGCACGGTGACCATTCAAGTTCCAGGAAGTCTGGTTTTTATTTTATGCTTTTCTAAAATTTTTAATTCTTTCCTCTACATTTTATGATGAAAAATTTCAAACATATAAAAGTGGGGGTAGAGGAGAACATCTGTATATCCACTATCTCGATTCGATAATTGTTAACATGCTACCTTTGCTTTATTGATCTGTGCGTAATTTTTCTAAACAATCTAAAAGATATAGATATTATGAATGCTTCATCTGAAGTACTTCAACATTTGCCTCACAAAAAAAATAAATGAAGATATTCTCCCAGATAATAATAGCATTAGCATGCCTTGAAAATTTAGTAATCATATGAGATTCTGACATTGTTAAGACATAATGAGATCTGTACACGTCTTGAAAATTCAAGGTAGTTTATGTAATTTACTACCAAGTATGACTTAGGTAGACGGTAACCCTGAGCAAGACAGTGATTTGCTCTTTCACAGCATCAGTGGGCACAGGGGTAAAGTCAGCAGAAAAGCACACACCTAAGGCCAGTCTTCAAGAAGCACCATGGCTCTTCTCAAGTTTCTCAAGAAAGGCTTGTAAAAAGTACACCTAAAGAGATTTTTTTGATTATAAGAGTAATTTTCATTGATGATTTCTCTTTTTCTAGAGTTTCCTGATTTTTTTGAACAGTGAGCAGAATATAATTAGAAAACTTTTTAAAAAGTAACTTGGAATTCTATAACACCAATAAAAGGGTTTCTTCATCATCTAAGTCACTACAGATAAAAATAAGGTAAAAAATATAAAATTGCAAGGTAATTTACCAAGAATTAACCTGATAGTATAAAGCTTTATAGTCTCTAGATATATACCATAAAACTAGTTAAAAATGGTATTTGTGGCCATTTCAATAAAAGTTAGGCATTTGGCCCTTGGTCAGAAATATAATCCCATTATTACAACTGTTTTTAATGCAAAAACAGAATTCTCATAAATGTAACTTACTGTATCTTCCAGGAACATAGTCCTCATCATGGCAAGTCTCATGTAAAATCAGATAACTTAATGGAGCTACTGAAGGAGACATCCTGCTTTTTAATCTTTTTCTTTAAGTTAAGTTTAGTTTGCATGAGGGCCCATGCACTCACCAGAAAGAGAGGAAGAAAGAGAAAGAGGAGGACAGGGAGAAAGCACTCACCAATGAGGCATGATCATACAGCAATCTCTTCTCCTCCCTATCAGGATTTTCGATGCACATGTACCTAGGGTATTTTTCAAGTCACAGAGGCTGGGACTTGAACCACACAGTTGGCTCCCTTAACCACCAGGCCACAGGGTTAGCCCACTAATCTGCTTTTGTCCAGAACATATTAATCATTCCTGTTACTAACTGATGTGTAATTTACTTGCTTGCTATGGTCTAAATGTTTGTGTTCCCCCAAAATTCATATATTAGAATCCTAATTCCCAAGTTGATGGAAGATGTGACCTTATAGGATTAGTACCCTTAAAAGAAACCCCAGAGGGACCAGCAGTTAGCGTAATGGCTATCTCGCTGGACTCCCATTTAGTCGACCACGGTTCACGTCCCGGACCTGGTGGCTTAAAACTCACGCTGGGCGCGTGTGTGTGCGTGCCCAAGATCCCAAGAGGAGTACGGAGGAGAAGGGATTGCGGCGTGGCCATCCCCCCTAGGGGGTGATTTCTCACTTTCTGTCTCTCTCTGCCTGTCTGGTGAGTGCACGCGCCCTATAGCAAAAACTTCTCAAAAAAAAAAAAAGAAAGAAAGAAACCCCAGAGAGCTCCATTGCTCCCCCCACCATATAAGAACTCCATAAGAAGGCTACTGTCTATGAACCAGGAAACAGATCCTCACCAGACACCAAATTGGAGGATGCTTTGAACTTAGACTTCCTGGCCTCTATAACTGTGAGGAATAAATTTCTGGTATTTACAAGCTGCTTAGTTTAAGCTATTCTTTTATAGTAGCCTGAATGAACTAAGACAATCAACACTGAATATAAGGTTGGAGTCTTAAAAAGTAGCATTATAAAAAGAAAACCTGGGCCAAGTGGTAGCGCAGTATAACACAACACTGTGCACTATGGAAGGCCAACCCACAGCAGAAGGTTCCAGGTTTGTATCTAGAGATCTCTCTGAATGCACGGGGCATGTGTATGACCAAGATAAAGGGCTGACTGAGGCTTGGGGTGGAACATAGCATGAGGATCCTATAGGGGGTCTATGTCTGTCTCTCTTATTCACAGAAGAAAGAAAAAAAGAAAAGACCCCGTAAGGGGTACATGTCTGTCTGTTTCTCTTACCCATGGAAGAAAGAAAAAAAAAACTTGAAAAAAGAAAAAAGGAAACCCGGGACAACCAAGAAGACACTTACCAGACTGGTGCTCTGAATGGGCTCCGGAGTGGCCTTGCTTGAGGCTTCATCCTGGCCAGAAGCATTCAACGAGGCAGCACTTTCCTGGGCCAGCCCAGCCAACTGCCCACTACTTGTACTCTTCAGCTTATCTGCAATCCGCTGGTTTTCTTTCTCTAGCTTGATTTTGGCTAACTGTGCTTCCAACATCCAATGCTCTTTTTCCTGCTCCAATTTAGAAATCTTTTCCAAACTCTGGTGAACCTTAAAAAATATTATAGAGTTCTATATCTTAGAAAATGACATGAACAACTTAGTGACCATAAAAACTACTTTGCAGAATGTAAACCAAAACTACCTCACGGAGGTTAAAATAATAAAGCTTGACCCCAAAACAGAGAGAGATTTATTAAACAGAATACAAAAAGCACAATCACAGCTGAAAAACTGAACTACAGTTAAAAAAAAAAATACCAACAACTCTAGTCATCAAAAGACATTAACAGAGTGAAAGAGAGAGCCAAAGAGCGAAAGAATAATATGTAATGCATGTATCTAACAGAGAAACAGAGATCTAATACCTAGAACATAGCATTTTTTGCAAATTAATAAGAAATAGACAACCCAATAGAGAAACAGGCAAAAAACAAAAAAAAAACAACAACAAAAAAAACCTAACATCAACAACTGAAGATCTGATCGAGACTACAAACATAAAACTATGATCAATATCACTAATTATCAAAGGAAAGCAATTTAAATCATTCATCATTTGATACAAAGGGAGTCATATCTGTGAAGTAATTCAGTCTTACAGTTCTCAACAAAAGAGGAAGGCTAGATCTGAAAGAGTATATATTCCATAATTGCATCTAATAAAAAGTTCAATATCAGGCAAGAAAACTCATTTCTGGTGTTAGAATACAGAATAATGGTTATCTTTGGGAGAGAGTAAGGTAGTAACTGGAAAGGGGCATGAGAAAAATTTCTAGGGTCTTACTAATTTTTTTAAAAGGTATACATAGAGAATTTATTTTTCTTTTAAAATCTAGCTGCTGGCTACATCCGTGTGTTCACTTGTGAAAGTTCACTAGCATACACATTAATGTATACTTTGCTGTTAGTATGTTATACTTTAACAAGAAGTTAAACCAGTCCTCAGAGCAAATAAAAACTAGGAAACTGCATGAAAACAACAGCAAACTTACAGTGAATTCCAAATGCTTTACCACCTAGCAGAATTAAACGAGTGCCACACACCTTCCTCTCATCATGCCACTGATACCGCCTAACAGTCTTCCAACTGTTCTCTCTCAGAGGAGAACCACTGCTCCAGCATTAGACCACCTGTTATGCTATCAAGTGGCAAAGCTAAGATGTGGAATTCCAGCCCTCTGGCTCACAAAACTGGATCTTTTTGCTATATCACACTGCCTCCCACTGGCTCAGTTATTCCTAAGGAGTCCCTGAAAGGTAGGTATTATCCTCACTTTCAGATAGGCAGTCAGAGAGGCCTAGAGCATTTATCACATTAACTCTCAGCTGGTCAGTAGCAGAGTGAAGAAAGCATTATCTTTGAGGTCAGTTCTGCAGCTTACTAGCTACTTTGAGTAAAAGTTAGTTTCTTTGAATCTTACTTCATATTAAAAAAAAAAAAAAATTTATGTGTGATGCTTATTACTTTTTTTTTTTCTTTTTTCTTTTCCAGAGCGATCTTGCACTCCTCAGTGAGAGTAGGGAACAAAAAAAAAGCCCCCATGGGGATGGCCACACCATAATCCCCGCTCCTCCGTTCTCCTCTTGGAATTTTGGGCACACACGCACAGTGCCTGGCATGAGCTTAAAGTCGCCAGATTCAGGACTTGAACCCTGGTCAGCCATGTGGGAGTCCAGGACGTGAACCACGGTTGACTACATGGGAGTCCACTGACATAGCCATTACGCTAACTGCTGGTCCCAAATTTTTAGTTCTAATATCCTAGAGCATTAATGTTAAAAAGGTAAGTAACGTTCCCAAAGAAAGTAAGGTCAGCATAGACAAAATATTGTCTCAGGTGAATTTATTTGATCTCCATTTAAAATGAATATTTCTCAAACTAAAAGCAAGCCAGATACCAAAGTGAATAAATATCTGACAAAAGTTAAATTAGTGTCAGACTGTACCAATTTATGAAAAAGACTACCTTCCACTCCTATTCACCCTCGAATATCAACTAACCAACCAAATACTAGAAAATTTTCATGCCTGCTCATTTTAAAAATGAAAAAGCTTAGGCCAACCAGTGGCATTGTGGTTAAGGCATCCAACATGGCCCACTGTGTGATCAAGTCCCAGATCTGGCAGCTTGAAAAACAATCCAGGCACGTGTGTGTGTGCCCAGAATCCCCAAAAGAGGGAGAAATGGAGGAGAAAGAATGTGGTATGACCATCCCCATGAGGAATGCTTTCTCATTTTCCCTCTCTCTCTCCAGCAGGTACACTCATGCTCTGGCGAATAAAAAAAATAAAGAAAAGAAAGGAAAGGAAAAAACTCACTGGGTCTCTAGCCCTTTCCCCCGTTTTTTTGTCTTATTATTATAAACATTTAAATCTAGTGCCTAAAAATGAATTAATCGTCATGGCCAAAGTGTGTTGATATTACTTTAGTGCCAACTGCAACATCAATGTAATCATGACCTATTCATAGTATCAATACATTTTTCAACAAATTATGCTTATGGTGCTTTTTAGTATTAAACAATTAATTTTACATGTTTACATATGCAGTCTTTTGAATCACTTATGTATCTTAAAAACCCTCTCCAGGAAACTTAACATTTCTGCACTTTAACAATTTCCATGATTTTCCAGGTGTCATACCTGCTGTGCAAGGCCTTCTCGACTTTCAGTAGAGCTAAGAAGGACCCGACGGTTTGCCAATGCTTCTTCATAAGGCACAGACTCCAGAAGGGGCTAGGGAAAACGTCATTAAGAATTAAGGGAAAAATACTGTGTCACCCCTCCCCTCCACCCAATCCAAACCCCAAATAAGAATGTTAAGTGGAGCTGTGATAATAAATTCAGATGTAAGGCAACACAGACATGTGAAGAAAAACCAATTTTTTAACCAAATAAAAATGCTGAAGAATTTATCATACTGACTCGTCTATACTAACTGAAACCATATGGACTTGCACAGAAATAGACAGAAGAAGGATAGAGGAGAAAATCAGAAACAGATAAAAGCACACAGAAAAATGCATTGTGTGACAAACTGCACTTCTGAGTCAATGGAGAAAGGATAGATTGGAAAAACAGTACCACGACAACTATTTAATTAATTACAAAAATAACTATTTAGACCCTTCTTTTATATCTTACGTCAGAATATATTCTAAAATAAAGATCTAAATCTAAAAATTTAGATCATAAAAACACTTAAAGAAAATAAATGGGTGAATATTTCTATAACTTTGGAAAATGTTCCTGGCTGAGAATCACAACCATAAATAATAAGAGCTGTTTGATGATACAGAAATTAAAACTTCTGTTTTGAAAATACACTACAGCAAACTAGGCGGAAAATACTTCCCACATAAACACCAGATTAGAATCCTTAATAAAGAGGGGTCTCTTTTGAATCTAATTAGGAGCATAAAAATAGGTAAAAGACCTGAAAAGAGAATTGATAGAATAAAATAAGAATGAAAGAACCATGAAAGGATGTTCTACCTCATTAATAAGCAAAGACATGCAAATTAAAATAACAGTAAGAAACCTCTCCCCTCTGAGATTGACAAAGATGAAATGTATGGGCTTAATTTATATTTCTATGGTTGATAAGCTATAAAGAGGTAATTCCCTTAAGTACAGTCTATAAAAATATGCCAAAAATTGAGACAGTCGCAAACTCTGGACCGGCAATTCCTTTTGGGGTATTTAATCTTAAAGATATTATTAAAACAACTTGACAATTACAGGGAGATAAGTATCCCTATAAATTTCTAGGGCAATTTGGTAGTTAACTATTAAAACTTAGCATGTATGCTAGCAGGTGGTGTGGTGGTGAAGGGCGCTAGACTCCCACATGGCCAACTGTGGTTCGGGTCCCAGACCTGGTGGCTTGTTTTCTCACTTTTTCTGTTTCTCTCTGTCCCTCTCTGGTTAAATTGAAATAAATAAATAAGGTAAATAAAGTTAAATTAAAAAATAATTTAAAAACATAACATGTACAAACTACATGGCTCAGAATATTCTACCTGTCAGTATTTCTCATGTGCCCAAGGAGACAGTTAGAAAGTCATCCATTGCAGTATTAAATGGTTAAAAAAAAAAAAAGAAATCAACTTAAATACCCACTAATTAAGGCAAACCTAAAGAGGCATGGAACATTCATGAAATAGAATTCTACGTTATATTTATTAATAAAATGAATGTGAGCACATATAATGATATAGACAGATCACTAAAACAAATTTTAAATGAAAAAAAAAAGGCACAATAAAACATGCATTTAGATTAACAAAAAAGGAAGGAAGAGAGGGAAGGAGAATAGGAAGAAGAGAGGGACAGAAGGAGAAAGGGAAGGAGGAAAGAAATTTCTATATATTGTTTATGGGTTTACATAGATGCATATAAATGTTCCAAGAGCCTGCAAGCTTACCACCAAACTGATAACTGTGGTTACCTCTGGAGAAGAGATAGAATTAGGGATTATAATTTATCTATAATGGGCCAATAGAGGTGTGGTAGTTAAGGTATTGGACTCCCACACGGCCGACTGCAGTTCAAGTCTCAGACATGGTGACTTGCTTTCTCACTTTCTGGCGAGCACATGTGCCCTACAGCAAATTTTAAAATAACTTATCTATAATGTTCTAATTTAAGAATGTGGGGCTTTTTGGGTTTTAAAAAATTTTTTGCTATAGGGAATGTACACTCGCCAGAGTCAGAAAGAGACAAAGTGAGAAATCCACCCCTCCCAGAGGACTGGCCATGCCACAATCCTTCCTCCTCCATTCTCTTGAGATTTTGGGCATGTACATGCTTGTACATGCATCCAGTGTGCTTTCAAGCCACAGGGTCCAGAATTCGAACTGCTCAGTTGGCTATGTGGGATCTAGCTGCCTCCAGCCTCCACACCTGCTGGCCCCCAAGAATGTGTTAATTAAAAGTTTTAAAGACATGAAGAGAAAAATGAGAAAATGCACAGTTCCATAGGCAAGTATACCCACTATAGCACTGCATGTAACAGTGTAAAATAAGCAATCTAAATACCCATCAGTAAGAAATTTGTTAAATAAGCACAGCTTTACAGAATAAAATACTCTAGAGGCATTAAAATGATGGCAATTTATATATATTACGTTTCTGTATTTTCAACATAAATATAAACATATACACAATGAATTTTAAAAAAGATTGTAAAACACATACAAGATCATATGTGTACCTACACATATTTTGCTTTCAATAGTGTATGTGGATATAGTGTATGTAGATTCCCTAGCAAACTTAAGAAGAGATACATTTGGGTAGTAGGATCTGGGATGACTATAATAATTTTCTTCCTAATGTACTGCTGTGTTTTCTGACTTTTTTATGATTATGTATTTCTCAATATAGCATATTCTGAAAAAAATTATAAACATGTTTCAATTTTTTTTCTGCTTCGACAAGTTTAGGATTTTCTAAAGTTTGATCTTTACTGACTGGTTGGTTACCTCAACCCAGGTGCTCTACAGGCACTGGGACATGAGTCCATCATGGCCTGTGAAGACACACTAAGCTGTTTATCGGGTAGGGTCTGGGTCTCTGTCACCACCTCTTTCTCACAACACCCACCCCAAAACTGTGTAAAACAGTAAGAAGTGTGGAAAAACTCTTGCCACTCTGTGGAACAATTTGTGACTTCCCCTCTGATTTACATTTTAGCAGCTCACAAACCTTTCTCAAAGCCTTGATATAGGCAGCAGCTTTTTTCTTGTACTGCAGCATGCATTCTGCTGAAAGAGGACTAATGAATCCACTTGCTGCCTTAGGGCCGTAGCTCAGTGAAGCAATGAAGTAGTCTACATTGTTGCTGAAGAAAGACGCAATCTAAACAGTGTGACAAGAAGACAGATTTTGTTTTCCAATATCTAAAACATAAATCTAATAGCTTTCAGAGCAAAGTTTAAAGATGCTAAAAACGGAAATGAAATTTTGACACCTGTCTAAAAGCCTACATCTATTTATTTGAAGAGAATACCTAGATAGCAATTTATAGTAAAAACAGGACACCACTATAAATATTGAGAATTTCTGACATGTCCTACTCTAGGCAATTTCTTTTCTTTCTGAAAACCAAGATTGGTTTGATTTACTCTGTAGGTAACTTTCATGAGCTATTTACCTCATTAATTTCTGCCACTGTTCTCAAAATATCCATGTTTAGATTTTAACATTCCATATGTATTTTTTTCCTTTATGAGAGGAAAAAGGGAGAGGGGGAAGAGAATCCTTTTTTCTTTTTCTCTAACTTTTTTTTAACTTGCCAGAGGGCACATGTACTTGTTACAGAGCGAGCAAAAGGAAAAAAAAAAAAAAAAGAAAAGAAAAGAAAAAAATCCTCCCCTCCACTGTGAAGCATGGTCATACTGCAATCCCTTCTCTGTTTCTCTTTTTAAGGATTTTGGGCATGCATGCATATGTGCCCAGTATGTTTCTCAAGCCACCTTGTCTGAGACTCAAACTGCAGGGTTGGCCATCTGGGATCCAGGTGCCTTAACCACAATGCCATGGAGCCAGTCCAGGAACTTTCTGACACAGTCCCTCCATGTCATTGGTCCTCTGGCCCCTAGCCTCTCAATTAATTAGGATAACAAACATACACAACCACATGCAGTGTGTTTACACAGGCCTAGGAATTGAACCTAGGCCTCCCATGCTGCCTCTATCCTCCCAAGCCATGGTGCTACCTGTTTACTACCGTGGTTGGACCATTCCATTTGAATTGGGTCATTGGCAAAGTCATGATGTATATTTCTATGTTCTTCTATGCAAAAATACATGACTTTTCTGATGACCCAATATCTTAGCTTCGGCTATTTCGTATTCCAACAAAAGCCACGATATAAGCATCTTGAACATGTAAGTCCTACCTAAATTTAATTCTGGAGTCTCAATTTGTGAATTTTACACGGAAAAAAAAACTACAGCTTTAGTTGATGCTTATCATTTATAGATTTATCACTCATTAAGTCTATATAAGCAAGCACAATCTTCCATTAGTGTAATTTGCAGAGAGATGGTTTTTGAATCTCTAATACTACCTGAAATGAACAGAAATGTCCAGCCAAATGTCTTAGCCAGAAAAATTAAGGTTTTAGATACATTAAAGAGCATTCTATTTTGATAAATAAATGAAAGTGACTTATAAAACATTCTTCCTTGGCACAATGGCTCAAAATCAGTCACCAGTGGGGGAAAAGGTTATTTTTTCCAATTTTCATTAAGTTTTTACTATGTCAAATACAATTTGTTAGGTAGTACATAATGAAATAAGATTCCATAAATCATGTGTCATATACTCTTTGTGAATGACATGGATATACTTAGTGTTTACATTTAGATCATGACAGTAAATGGTGAGATCTATTTTTTTTCTCTAATAATCATTTATCTTCCAAACTATGATATGGATATGCTATACTTTCCTACTGGTTTTTGAAAAATTACTAACTGTAAAATTCAGCTTAATTAAATCACATTAATTACTAAACTGCCACCACTAACATGAGTTCAAACACTTAATTTTAGTTAAAAATTATTTATGAAAATTCCAGCATGTGGGCCAACCCTACAGCATAGCAGCTATTAGGCTCTGTGCATAAAAAGTCAGATCCCACACAGCCAACTGCGGTTTGAATCCCAGCCCCAGTAGCTTGAAAAACACACTGGGTATGTGTGCCCCAAATCCTGATGAGATAGAGAAATAAGGAGAAGGGATTATGAAGTAGCCATACCTCAGGGGGGAGGGGGGAGGTTCTGTTTCTTCTCTGTCTCTATCTCTATCTCACTCTCTGTGGCTCTCTCATGTGCACCCTCTGGCAAAAAAAAAAAAAAAAAAACCTACTGAAAACTAATTAACTTTATGTGAGATATCATTTTAAGGCTTTAAGCAAAGCAAAGCTAAAACAGACTAAAAAGTCCAAAGAATTTCCAAAGAAACTGTACTCTGGTCAGTTTATAATCATAATTAAGTGCCTAATGATTTAAGTGATCATTATTTAATATTAAGGGCTCAATGAAAACATAAAATATAAAGGTATTTAATATTTTGGAGTTCTCATAAAAGGTAACAAAAGCAGAAACTCCTGTAAAATGCCAACGTTCTCTTTTTCCAGAATTTTTTAAAACTCAAAGTTAGAATTCTCTTCAGAAAGCTTCTGGCATGACACAGACAAAAGAGCATAAAAAGGGGCCGGTGGGATGGTCTTCTGACTTGGCAGTCCCATAGTACAGATCTTTGTGCTGACTGAACCTAAAGAGAATGTATTTTAATTATTGCCCCAAAATTTAGCAACCACTTGAGGGAAGTTTGTTTCTCTTATGGTCACGCTATGAGAAAAAGAATGGTAGATGGACATGGATATAGAATGTCCTTGAGAAATTAGGCTGAGTCTGCTGAAAAAAATGGGCTAAGATAGTGCTGAATGTAGTCCTTTGGTTTTATGTGCAGGGGAGTTTCAAAGAAATTTTAATCATTAAAGGTGCTGATGACAAACACACACTGAGAATATGACTTGTGCCAAAACCAGAATATCCATGTTTGAAGAATTTTTAAAGAAATTGCATTCTGGCAATTTATAATATTATTATTATTTTGGTAGTTTATAATAACAATTAAGTTCTTCATGATCCAAAAGACCATTCTCTAATATTAAGGGTTCAATGAAAAAAAAATATGTTGAAGCACTATAAAATATCTGAGACACAGAATCAGAGGAAGCATTACTATCTATCTATCTATCTATTTATTTATTTATGAGAGATTTTTGCTATAGAGTGCATGCACTTGCCAGAGATACAGAAAGCAAGAAATCACCCCCCAGGGGGGTGGACATGCTGCCATCCCTTCTTCTCTATTCTCCTCTCAGGATATTGGGTGGGCATGCATGCACATGCACCCAGCATGAATTTTAAGTTGCTGGGTCTGGGTCTTGAACCGTAGTCAACTACATGTGAGTTCAGTGATATAATCATTATGTCATCTGCTGGTCCCCAGAAGCAGCATTATTAAAGTGTCGGGGGAAAAAATACAGGAGCTGAGAAACCCAAATTATTTATTAATGGAGGTTGTGTTGCTTTTTTTTTTTCCTTTTCTGTTTCTTCCCAATGATCTATGTAACAGACTTTAATATATACAAGGATCTACACTGAGACCACTAAGAATATTTAAACCATCAATATTAGATTAAAACAGAAACAGTGAGTGATTCATCCACTAGTTACAAATGCTAAGCAGTCACTATTACATTTTTTTAAAATAAGAGGGAAAAGGGAGACAACTGCAGTTTACAAAAAAAAAAAGCTCTCAATTCCAAAATCCTTTTATAAATCAATTTTATGTCATTCAAGAAAAAGGAGCATTTAAGAACTGAATTTGATAGCAATATAAGTTAGAGAAAAATTACCTTTCCTGCTCCATTTGTTAATGCCACTACTGATGATAGGATACAGTCATTAGTTGTTACTAGTTTCTGTGTTGCTGTTGGAAGTTCATGCTCTATTGTTGCTTTCTGACTATAATGCTTGGAAATATCTAGAAAGGCAATCAAATGAAAACTCATTATTCTCTACATAGGAGGGTACTTAATGTCTGTGGGAAAATTGAATTAAATATGAGTTAACTCAGATACAAAAAAATTAAAATCTATGCACAGTTTTTTCATAATATACATTTCTACGAACTTTTTGAAGACCTCCTTTCCTATAGATAACAACCTGTTCACTTTTCATATGTACTTTTACAAAATTGTTTTAGTTGGCCAAGGACATGTGTGTTCACCAGATAGAAAGAGAAACAGAACAAGGAAGAGGAGAAAGCACCCCCTGATGGGGTACTGTCACAACACAATTCCTTTTCCTCCATTTCTCCACCCTGTTGGGGTAGTTTATTATTATAAACTACCAAAATAACGTCCAAAGTGTTCTTCTTTTCTTTCTCTCTCTTTTTTTTTAATGTTTTTTCTACAGGGTACCTGCGCTTGCCAGAGAAAGAGAGAGAGACAGTGAAAGGAAAAGTGAAATGCCCCCCACCCCTGGGGGATAGTCACATGCGATCTTTTCTCCATTTTCCTCCTGGGATTTTACACACATGCACCTGGCATAATTTTCAAGCAGCCAGGTTTAGAACTTGAACCACGATTGAACATGTGGGAGTCCAGCACCATAACCACTATGCCATCTGTCGGCCCCTGTCCAGAGTGTCTTTCAAGCCATGTGGGATCCAGTTCCTTTAACCACTTCCAGGCTACAGGACCAGCCCCAACTCTTAAAATTTTATTTTAAAAATTTGACAAAGAATGGTCCCAAGTATCAAGATTATGCTATCAGTTAGGTCATAAATCTACATGCATAGACCAGAGAGAACTAAGGGTTTCTTAAAACCATCTTCACTCTGTATTTACTACAGCTACCAGTGTGTGGGTTTAATTCTTCCTCACTTGAGTATTAACCTTTATTCTTGCATTGGGTAAATGACCCTGACTAGTATTTACCAGTTAAAAACTACTGTTCTGGGGACCAGCAGTTGGCGTAACGGCTATGTCACTGGACTCCCATGTAGTTGACCACGGTTCGAGTCCCGGGCCCAGTGGCTTAAACTCATGCCAGGCATGTGTGTGTGCATGCCCAAGATCCTGAAAGGAGAATGGAGGAGAAGGGATTGTGGCATGGCCATCTCCCCTGGGGGGTTATTTCTCGCTTTCTGTCTCTCTCTGTCTTTCTGGCAAGTGCACGTGCCCTATACCAAAAATCTCTCCAAAAAATAAATAAGTAAATAACTACCATTGTGGGGGCCAGGAAGATGGCATAACAGTTGTCACTGGACTCCCACATGGCTGACCATAGTATGAGTCCCAGTCTCAGAAGCGGTTAAAAAATCATGCTGGGTGTGTGTGTGTGTGCAAGACTAAGATCTGGGGAGGAGAATGGAGAAAGGACTATAGCGTGGCTGTTCCCCCTTGGGAGGTAATTTCTCACTTTCCCTGTCTCTGTCAACCACCTCACCTCACCCCACCCCAGCACATGCCCCAAGACAAAAAGCTCTTTTAAAAAACAAACAAAACCGGGAACCAGCAGTTAGCGTAATGGCTATGTCGCTGGACTCCCACATAGTCAACCACAGTTCACGTCCCGGACCCGGTAAAACTCACGCCGGGCACGTAGGCGTGTGTGCCCAGGATCCCGAGAGGAGAATGGAGGAGAAGGGACTGCGGTGTGACCATCCCCCCTGGGGGGTGATTTCTCGCTTTCTGTCTCTATGTCTCTCTCTGTCTGTCTGGCGAGCGCACGTGCCCTATAGCAAAAAAACCTCTCAAAAAAAAACAAAAAGCAAAGCTACTGGGGCCAGCAGGTGGCGTAGTGGTTAAGGCACTGGACTTCCACATGGCCAATCACAGTTCAGGTCCCAGATCCAGCAGCTTGAAACTCATGCTGGACACATTTATATGCAAGCCCAAAACTTCAAGACAACAGAGGAGAAGGGACTAAAGTGTGGCCATTTCCTCAGGTGGGGGTGATTTCCCACTTTCTGTCTCTCTCTGTCTCTCTGGTGAACACTTGTACTCTATAGCAAAAAATCTCTCTCAAAAAAAAAAAAAAAAGCCCATAGTTGTGATAGTTAAGTGGGTATCAATGAGAAATTATCTTGGGAACCAGCAGTTAGCGTAATGACTATGTCGCTGGACTCCCACGTAGTCGACCGCAGTTCGAGTCCTGGACCCGGTGGCTTAAAACTCCATGTGCGTGCGTGCCCAAGATTCCGAGAGGAGAATGGAGAAGAAGGGATTGCGGTGTGACCATCCCCCCGGGGGGTGATATCTCGCTTTGTCTCTATGTCTCTCTCTGTCTGTCTGGCGAGCAAACACACCCTATAGCAAAAAAAAAAAAACTCTCCAAATAAATAAATAAATAAATAAATAAATAAATAAATAATCTTGTACTTGTATAGTAACCCATGAACTTGGAATAGAATGGTCAACAGAGAAACAATATCCCACAATCTTTGTTGGATCTTGGCTACTAGTCTGCTAGTACACACCCATTTCTAACCATGAGAAATCTCTGCACAGCCAAATAAAGACTGGATACTGAGTCTGGTTTCATGCGCTATTCCCTCCTACTCAAGAATATTACAACATGGGAACCAGCAGTTAGCATAATGGCAATGTTGCTGGACTCCACGTAGTCGACCGCGGTTCGTGTCCGGGACCCGGGGGCTTAAAACTCATGCCCGGCGCGTGTGCGTGCATGCTCAAGATCCCGAGGAGAATGGAGGAGAAGGGACTGCGGCATGACCATCCCCCCTGGGGGGTGATTTCTCACTTTCTATCTCTCTGTCTCTGTCTGGCTGGCTGGCGAGCACATGAGCCTTATAGCGAAAACCTCTCCAAAAAAAAAAGAATATTTACAACAAAGGCCTATAAATAGAGAAGCATAAAAAAAAAGACTTCAATATAAGACGGTAAAAGAAATTGCAATTGGTGAGCCTAGCCAAACAACTAAGCTTTGGAGTTATCTGGGTCTCTAAGAGGCATACTGCTTTTGTCCTGAAAATATGTGGAAGGGGGGAAACTATTATTATTTTTTTCTTGAGAGGTTTTTCTATAGGGCGTGTGCACTCACCAGAAAGACAGAGACAGAAAGCGAGAAGTCACCCCCCGGGGAGATGACCACACCACAATCCCTTCTCCTCTATTCTCCTCTTGGGATCTTGGACACACATGTACATGTGCCCGGCATGAGTTTAAGCCGCCAGGTCTGGAACTAGAACCACAGTCAACTACATGAGAGTCCAGCAACATAACCATTACACTATCTGCTAGTACCATGAAGTGGGAAAATTATTAAGACAACATTGATTTACAAGAAATAATAATATTTTTAAATAACAGTGTTTACAATATAGTGTCCATTGAATTTTTTAGAATATTTCAGCTAAAGAGCACTAATTATCATCAACAACAAAGCTAAAAATAAATCATAAAATATGAACATTAATTTTTATAGTAGGTATGTATGGAAAGAATTTCAAAACCATTTTTCTAGAATTGAACCATTTAGTTGATTTAGACTATAAATAATTAATAGAGGAAATCAGGGGCCAGCAGGTGGCATGCTGGTTAAGGCACTACACTCACACATGGCCAACCACAATTCAAGTCCCAGATCTAGCAGCTTGCTTTCTCACTTTCCCTTTCTCACTTTCTCTCCCTGGTAAGCACACATGCCCTATAGAAAAAAGGACAAAGAAGACGAAAGAAAAAGAAGGAAAAGAAATAAAATTCGTTTTTTTTTTCTTTTTTTTGGAGAGGTTTTTGCTATAGGGCGCGTGCGCTCACCAGACAGACAGAGACAGAGAGCTAGAAAGCAAGAAATCACCCCCCAGGGGGGATAGCCATGCCGCAATCCCTTCTCCTCCATTCTCCTCTCGGGATCTTGGGCATGCATGCACACGTGCCCGGTGTGAGTTTAAGCCACCGGGTCCAGGACTCAAACCACGGTCAACTACGTGGGAGTCCAGCGACATAGCCATTTCGCTAACTGCTGGTCCCAATAGTTATTTTTTTAAAACAAGAGAGAAATCAGACTATTTGGACAAAAATGGTATTTGAGATTTAATCTAATACAATCATGATATTTTAAGACAAAAGTACTATGTTCTATGAATAAGATTATCTTCACCAAAATTTTAAAACTAAGCAATTATTTAATTAGTATATACATATGTATATGTGCTCCCTTCAGAAACAGAGAAAGACAGAGAGACAGAAAGTGAGAAATCAACCCCAGGGGCATGGCCACATCACAATCCCTTTTCCTCCTTTCTCCTCCTGGCAATTCAGGCACGCATATACACGCCCCATGTGACTTTCAAGCTGCCAGGTTCAGGACTCAAACTGCAGTTGATCACATGGGAGTCCAGCACTTTAACCACTATGCCACCTGCTGGACCCTAGTTCAAACATTTTAATTATCTAGGGTGCTCCTTGACATCAAATAACTCTATAAAGTACAAAGGAATCATGTGACCTAGACTAAGTTTTTTCTTTTATATCTTTTATGAGTCTACCTGCTTTAGACTTAAGACCCCAAAATGAAAAAATTCTTAGAATATCACTTTTTAAAAGATTCACTTGCATTTTAATTTCATGTAGGATACACATTTTTATAAATGTTTCTCTTTTTTATACTGAAACTAGCCTTCCAACAAGCTACCTTTCCTCCCTCTTTTTCTCTTTCCTTCTCTCCCCTCATCATTTATTTATTTATTTATTTAAACAAATTAGATCAAGCAATGATTCAGGGCAAAGCAGGAAGGAAAGAGATTTGAAATAAAAGTTTTCTTAAAAACAAAGTTTCTTCTGTTAATATGAGTTAATGCTCGTTTGGAGTTTTCATGAGAAAGATATGATTCTTATCTGTTGTCTTACTTCCAAGCCAGGTAAGACAAATTCGAACTGTAAGTCTAGCAACATGACCCCATAATCCACTTGCCAACCATTCTTCATGTTTCCCAGTAGTTTTTCTTTACATTTGTTATCAAGGACAAAAACAAACAGAGGCACGAAATGGGCTTAAGAGGCCTCTGACTCTCATGTAATCTCTATCAGTTCACGACAAATAATGACAGAAACATTTCTTCATTTGGACCACTCGGCATCCTCTTGATCTTACATAATGTATGAACAAAAGCATCTTCAGAAAACTTTGTCTGGTACAGATGAATTAAAAGAGCAATGTAGGGCCGGCGAGTGGTATGGTGGTTAAGGTGCTGGTTCCCACATGACTGACTCCACGATTCAAGTCCCAGATAAAGCAGCTTGGAAACCATGTCCAGTGCATGTGCACGTATCCCCAAAGTCCTGAGAGGAGAGTGGATTGTGGCATGGCTATCCCCAACACAGGATGATTTCTCACTTTCTGTTTCTTTCCAGTGAGTACACACACCCTACAGCAAAAATCTAAAAAACAAAACAGGGGACTAGCAGGTGGTGTGATGTTAAGGCGCAAGACACTCCCATATGGCCGACCACAGTTTGAGCCTGGTGGCTTTCTTTCCTACTTTCTCTCTGTCTCTCTCTGGTCAAATTAAAATAGATGACTGAATAAATAAAATTAAATGTCTTAAAAATATATATATAAATAAAATCAAGATTTTTATTTTAAAAAAAGATAAAGAGAAGCAATAAATTAATAAAAAGACAAACAAATCTAAAGTGCATATTGATTAGTGAAAGAGTAAATCTGAATAAAATATGTATGGTGTGAATTCTAATTGTATGACCTTCTGGAAAATGTAAAACTACAATGATGGCATAAAGATCTGTAATTGCCAAAGATTTAAGAGGAAAAGCTGTAAAAGTGTACTTAATTAACCAAGAGTTAATAAATGAATATGTAAATACTAAAAAAAAAAAAAAAAAAGATTTTTTTTTTTTAAAGAGTGCATATGCTTGCCAGAGAGACAGAGAAAAATCACCCTTCCCAAGGGGGGATAGCTACGCCATGACCCCTTCTCTTCCATTCTCCTCTCAGAATTTTGGGCATGCACACAGATGCACCTGGCCTGAGTTTTAAACTGCCAAATCCAGAACTCAAACCATCGTTGACTATGTGAGAGTTCAGCAACATAACCATTACGCAATCTTCTGGTCCCCCCAAAATCAAGATATTTTTATATAATTGTACTATAAGACCACTTCAAATGGAGAGCTAACCTCCAGGGGCCTAGCAACTCCTATTTCGAAATTCTGGAGAAACCAGCAGCAGAAACAAATAACAATATTAACACAGGAATTAAAAAATAAATAAATAAATAAAACAAAACAAAACAAAAACCCTGTTGCTATTTGTGCTTTTAATGACCTAGTTCTAAGTTAAATAAAGTTCTGGAATGGAGGACTACAGCTCACAGTCTTGGTTCCTCAAACCAAAAGCTACAAAGGAAAAAAGTGAAAAAAGTATTGTCCCTAGAATTTCTTTCTTTTTTTTTTTTTTAAGAATTATTTAATTTTATTTAGCCATTCATTTATTTTCATTTAACCAGAGAGAGAGAGAAAGTGAGAAAGCAAGCTGCCAGGTCAGGACTTGAACCGTGGTCCAGTGTCTTAACTACCATGCCACCTGCTGGTCCCCTGTCCCTGGGCTTTCTATAGACCAAATTTATTTCTGTAGGGTTGAAGATGAAAATTGTCAACTACTACCCAGATTGCCTATCTGAGATGTGATTTCTGAAACCAGAGTTAGATCCAAAAATACAGTGACTTTTAAAGTTCCTTATGGGACCAGCAGTTGGCATAATGGCTATGTTGCTGGACTCCCATGCAGTCGACCGCAGTTCGAGTCCCAGATCTGGTGGCTTAAACTCACGCCGGGTGCATGTGCATGTGTGCCCAAGATCCCGAGAAGAGAATGGAGGAGAAGAGATCGAGGCATGGCCATCCACCCTGGGGGGTGACTTCTCACTTTCTGTCTCTCTGTCTTTCTGGCAAGTGTGTGCACCCTATAGTAAAAACCTCTCCCCAAAAAATAATTAATTAATTAATTAAAGTTCCTTATAATTGAAATAGGAAGGCTGATTCTCCAGACTGAAATGGTAAAGGTATGCTTGGTAATACTGCTGAGACTAATGAATACCAGTGCTGTAGGTTATGTGCCAACCTTTGAAAAGGCTCCAAATGTACCCCTCTTACACATGTTACTCGACACAACTTGAAGTCTTAAAAAACTATTTCCTGTGAAATTAGTAACTGGTCATTCATCATGAACTACACACCACAGTGAATCATCGAGGCACCTGGGCTATTCAACTAGCCTTCATAATTATCCTGACCCCACCTTCCCCTCTCCCAACAGTTTCTAAAAGGAAAAGAAAGGGGGGAAACTGTAGAAGCAATGCAAAACGTATATTAGTCAGGACTCAAAATCACATGTTAAAAAGCATCTGAAACACTTTAGAAGATCTCCCTCTGCCCTTCAGCAGACTATATTCTAAGGAATACCAAGGCAATCGAAAACTGACCAAAATTTAAAAACAGACCCTTGTTTCTTCAGGATGTACAGAACAAGATAGGACTTGAAAAGGCATTTAAACATAAAAACACACAAGATGGTAGAAAGTTAGTGTATTCTTTCTGGGGATTTTAAATTTTGATCCTCAAATTCCTGCATGCTTGGGCTCCAACAAGGGCAAAATATTTTACTAACTGCCTTTGAATAGCATGTCTGGTTTGGTAAAATCTATACAACTGCCTTAAGTCAGTATCATGTATTTTAGCCTGAAGTGCTGTGCACAAGGATTTCTCTTGAGCATTTTGTTTACCTTCAGAAACGAGGCAGATGGGAATAGCAGAAGGCAGTGAGCTGTGCACTTCAGTGTAAGCCAAATGCTACTAAGCCTTTATCTGAGGTCTATTACCCTTGGCAGTATTTGTTTAAGTCTCATTCAGGCAGAGCTAAGAAAGTGGAATGGAGGTTTTAAGCTTACTTATGTTCTTCTTCAAGGCTCACCTTTCATGACATCATGAAATCCATGCAGAGCAGCACCAACATTTGTTAAGACAGAACTGTAGTTTGTTCGAAGGAGTCCATCGGGCTCTGTACCTATGAAACCAAAATCACAAACCTAAACATTTTCTTGAAAAATTGTCCTGCCCACCATCTCCCTCTACTTTTGGGAAGACAGAGAATGAAGACAATTTGTAAGACATTAGAAATAAAGGCTTCTAAGATCTTTGCAAATACATTCAGGTATAATGGTGATAAACAGACACATCTAATTGAATATATCTCCCATGTTCATAATAAATATTTTAATGGTTAAGAACCAAAATTAAATTGCTAAGCAGAATTAGATCTTTCACAATTCTTTCTGAAATAAAAGTCTTTATGATTTTCATACTGTTACCATGTAACACATTTCTCTATTTTTATTCCTTACACATTATTTGCAGAACATCTCAGAGTTATATTTCTTGCATGAAAGCATGAAGAGCCCTACAGATCTGCTCCCCAGCAAAACTGGTGAAAATCACAGAAAAATAACCACTTAAAGCCATGGGACATGGTTCTAGGGTCATACAGATAACAAATATCTACTCCAGAAAATCTATTAACAATTCTTTAAGAATATCAAGAATTAGGGCCAGCCAGTGGTGTGGTGTTTAAGGTGACTGATCCCACATGGGCAACTGCTTGAATTGAGTCCCGGATCTAGCAGCTTGAAAAACATGCTGGGCACTTGTGTGCATGTGTCCAAAATCCAAAGAGAACGAGTGGAAGAGATGAGATTGTGGCATTACCATCTCCCCTGGTAAGTGCTTTCTCACCAACCCCCCCCCCCCCCACACACACACACACACACACACTCGCTGTCTCTCTGGTAAGTGTATATAACCCACAGTAAATGTTTAAAAAAAAAGATAGCAAAAGTCTATGGTCTCTGAACCAAGATTTCCTCCCTCCTCCCATCAGTTAAGGATGGAAATCCCACTCTCAACAGGTCCTATACAGCCAGGAACAAAGGATTCCCTCTCTTCCAAATCCTAGCTGGAAGCCCCGATTTCTCAGCTTGCCTGTTGCTGAGACTGAGTTCCAGGTAATTGCAACTGAAAAGTGGGGAGGGTTCCCTTCTCTCATCCAGCTCCTACTTCTGGAGTGGAGGCTCTACCTGGGGCATGGCACTGCTGATAATATGGGCACCATGATCACCACTGTCCAAGCTCACAACAGGAGTTCCACACCAAAAGAGGCATACCATGGATACCTAGGGCCGCTGCCCTGCACCCTCCACCGAGTACTTGGCTCCTAACAAGTGGGTACACTCAGGAACAGTATGGCCACTGTCCTATCTCCAACACCAGAATCATGGCTAAGAGATTTAGCCCAGGAGAGAAGCAAACCTTAAAACAAGAGCTGAGACTCTCTTCTCAAAAGAACTGACTTCATTTGCAACAGAATATGGAGAACTTTAGACCTAAAGGTGCTCTCAAAAAAATGGAGCTTGTGGTGAAAGCAATTAAAAGCAAACTGATAGATTCAAAAGGGGTGTTAGCTAAATTACTGGCTGGTTGATTTACCAAAGAGAACCAGATAAAGTAATAGTGAAGACTTATGGGATCAGAACAATAGCTACCATGGCACAGGCAGTATTGTGCTGCTCTGTATTGCTGGAAGCCACATGCCCAGCCATGGGTTCAGATCCTAGGTGACCAGAAACACGCCAGATACACATGGTCCTAACTGGCTACAGGGCCTCGGGAGAAGGGGACTGTGGTATGACAAGACCCTGTCAAGGGTACCTGTCTTTTTCTCCAGTTGATTCTGTCTCTCAAGCTCATGAAAAACTAAACTTAAGGGGAAAAAATTTATATTTAAAATTTTTTTTTAAAGAATGATTTATTTAATTTTATTTAGTTTTATTTATTCATTCATTTATTTTAATTTGACCAAGGAGAGATACACACAGAGACAAAGTGAGAAAGCAAGCCACCAGGTCTGGACCTGAACCATGGTTGGCTATGTGGGAGTGTCCAGCACCTTAATCACTACGCCACCTGCTGGTCCCCTAAATTTTATATTAAAAAAAATTTCTCAAACACTGATCTCAGAAACCATACCTGCCACATATATGCTAAGTCTATTATTATTCCTATAGAGGATCCCAAATTTATTTGATTGAATCTGAGGACAATTTATTCCCAAGGCATTCTGAAAATAAGAGAGAATCCACCAGCAATCAGTGGAGCTTAAACCTGGCTGTGAAGGAAGGAGACTGTGAAGGAATATCCTGCCAAAACCACAGTCATCCCAGCAAGACTATATAAACCCAAGGCTGAATGAACCCTCTGAGGACCAACGCTGGAGTACAAAACTGATGCTCTGAAAATACAAAATTGTGTTTAAAGAAATTAAAGGGGACCAGCAGTTAGTGTAATGGCTATGTCGCTGAACTCCCACATAGTTGACTGCAGTTGGAGTCCCAGGCCCGGTGGCTTAAACTCACGCCGGGCACGTGTGCATGCGTGCCCAAGATCCCGAGAGGAGAATGGAGGAGAAGGGATTGCGGTGTGTCATCCCCCCAGGGTGTGATTTTTCTCTCGCTTTCTGTCTCTCTGTCTCTCTGTCTCTCTCTGTCTTTCTGGCGAGCATACGCGCCGTATAGCTAAAACCTCTCCGCACACACACAAAAAAAGAAATTAAAGAAGATCTACAAAAATGAAAAAACATACCACATTCATGGATTAGAAGGCTTAACACTGTTAAGATGACAATACACTCTTAAGTTTCCTTAGGCGGCCGCAACTAAATACCACAAGTGAGGTGGCTTAAAACAACACAAATTTATTACCTCACAGTTCTGGAGGCCAGGAGTCCAAAATGAAGGTATTAGCACTACAATACTACCCCAAAGGTTGTGGGGCAAGGAGGGGGGATCTGCACTGCCTTCTCCAGCTTGTTAGCCCCAGGAGTTCCTTAGCTTGTAGCAGCATAACACCAACCCCTGGCTGTCTTCACAAGGCCTTTTCCCCTGTGTCTCCAAATCTGTCTTCCCTTATACAAATGTCAGTCACTGATTTAGTGCTCATCCTAATCTAGTACAACCTCATCAACTGCAGAGACTGTTTCTAAATAAGGTTATACACAGGTACTAGAACTCAGAACTCCATATATGTTTTTAGGCGACACAATTCAATCCACAACCTTCCCCAAACTAATCCACAGATTAGTTTTTAAGATTCACCTAAGTATGTATCCAGTACTTCATTCCTTTTTAATTACAGACTAATATTCCATTGTACAGACAAACTACCTTTCATTTATCAGCCCATCTGGTAATAACATTTAGGTTGTTTCCACTTTTTGGCTCTTATAAATAATGATGCTATAGGCAATCCAATCCCTATCAGAATCTCCGCTGACTTCTTTGTAGAAAAAGACAAGCTGATTCTAAACTTCATATGAAATTAAAAAGACCCTGAATAACCAAAACAATTGGTTAAACAGATCTTCTTCTTCAAAGAAGGACAAAATAGAACTCATAATTCCTGATGTCAAAACTTACTACAAAGCAACAGCCATCAAGACATTGTGGTACTGGCATAGGACAGACATACAGTGCAATGAAATAGAACTGAAAGTCCAAAAGTAAATCCAAACATCTATGGTTAACTGATTCTTGACAAGCATACCAAGATTATTCAATAAGGAAAAAATTGTCTTTCAAGAAAAAGTGTTAAGACAACTGGGTAGACACATACAAAAGATGAAGTTGGTACCTTAAACCATATATAAAAATTAACTCAAAATGGATCAAAAAATCTAAATGTAAGAGCTCTAATTACAAAACTCTCAGAAGAAAATATAGGGGGGCAAGTCTTCATAACCTCAGATTTGACCATGGTATTTATATATGACACCAAAAGCATAAGCAACAGAAGAACAGAAAATTATACTTCTTCAATTAAAAACCTTTATTTTTCAAAAAACACTATCAAGAAAGTAAAAAAAAAAAACCTACAAAGTAGTAGAAAAAACACGGCAAATCATATATCCAATAAGGGACTTGTATCCAAAATATATAAAGAATTCTTACAACTCAATAATAAAAAGATGACCCAACTGAAAAATTAAAAATGGTCAATATAACCATTTCTCCAAAGAAGATAGAAAACAAATGACCAATAAGCACACGAAAACATGTTTGACATCATCACCCATCATGGAAATGCAAATCAAAACCACAATGAGATACAATTTCATACTTATTAGAATGGCTAAAATAAAAGTCAGATAATAAGTGTTAGTGAGGAGGTGGAGAAGTTAGACCCCTCATACACTGCTATAGAAGGTAGGTAAAATGGTACAAACCTTTGGAAAACAGTCTGAGAGTTACCCAAATAGTTAAGCATAGAGTTACCATAAGACCCAGCAATTCTTTCCTTACTATATACCCCCCAAAAATTAAAAGACATGTGCACATGAAGACCTGTACACAAATGTCTACAGCATCATTATTCATATTAGCCAGAAGGTACAAAAACCCCCAAATGTCTATTACTTAACAGGAAGATAAGCAAAATGTAGTATGTCCATCATGGAAAATTATCCTGCAATAAAAAAAGGAATGAAGTACTGGATACATGCAACGACTTCTTAAAAACATTATGCTGGGGCCAGCAGGTGGTGTGGTGGTTAAGGGTGCTGCACTCCCACATGACCAACCGTGGTTGGAGTTCCGAGTCCCAGGAGCAGCTTGCTTTCTCACTTTCTCACTCTATTCCTCCCTCCCTCCCTTTCTGGTCAAATTAAAATAAATGAATAAATAAAGTTAAATAAAATAATTCTAAAAAAAAAAATTACGCTGACCAGAACAACGGTGATACATCTGTAATGCAAAGCTCAACGGTGCTGAAGCCATACAGGAAGGTCCTGGGTTCACATCCTAAGGTCTCCATGTACATGCTGGGTATGTGTGAGTGTGTGCCCATGATGTGGGCTGGCTGGGGCTGGATCCTGGAGGTGAGTGCAGGATTGCAGCATTAGGACCCTGCTAGGGGTGCCTGTCTGCCTGCCCCTCTCTCTGTCTGCCCCTCTCTGTCTCCCTCTCATGGAAGAAATAAACTTTTAAAAGGTATACTTAGTGAAAGAAAGGGATCACAAAAGCCTACCTATTATGTGATTTCATTCATACCAAATGTCTAGAATAGGCAAAAATACAGACAGAACATTGCTTAGGGGTAGGGAGTGGAGGAACAGGGAAACAGAAGGGTGACAGTTAAAGTACACAGGATTTTTTCTTAAGGTGATGAAAGTGTCCTAAAATTGATTGTAATGATGATGCATATACCTATAACTATGCTAAAAACTACTGGGTTGGACCCTTTAAATTGGTAAACTATATGGTATATAAATTACGTAACAATAAACTGTTTAAAAAAATAAAAACAAAAACAAATCACAGAAAATCATAGTATTCTTAAAAATAGCATTTAAACTGAGATCCATTCAGTTAGCTGAGATTACTTTTTTCAAAGGAAACAAATGACATTTTTACTAAAGTTCCCCTCCCCTATGCTATATATTAGAAAGTTGTTATAGGTTTTTATGATTTGTCCCTGTACATTTGAAAAAAGAGGAAGGAGAAATGGGGAATTAACATTCAATACATGTTTGATGCCTGATATTTTACTACCTCAATTTAATTTAATTTATGACCTGGGTAAAACAGCGTAATTTTTTTTTTTAGAATTATTTTATTTAACTTTATTTATTCATTTATTTTAATTTGACCAGAAAGGGAGGGAGGGAGGAATAGAGTGAGAAAGTGAGAAAGCAAGCTGCTCCCGGGACTCGGGACTCCAACCACGGTTGGTCATAATCACATCTAACTCCATTTCATAGGTGCAGAGAAGTAAAATGTTTTACCCCAGGTTATAAATACATAAGGAGCTGGAGGACTTTGATTCAAGTTTTTCTGACTCTAGATCCTATTCTCCTCTCACTCTAGCAAGGTAAATACCTCCCTTTTCCAGGTTCTAGTACTTGTAAGTCTTTCAAGTTGAACCAAGAGCAACAAACACACTTACTTGGCAAGGCAAGAAGAGCAACATAAGTCTGCAGCTTCTCAAACACAGCTGTCATCTTTTTCATGTCTTGGGACAGCTCTAGATTCCTGGCTCTTAATGCAGATGTGCAAAGAGAAGATTCACATTCTTCTTCTAAACTAGGAATGAGCGGATTTTTTAAAAAGTGAGTATCCTGAATGATTTTCAATTAGCTATTATAAACCATCTAAATTCTCAATGAACTATATCTATCTGTAGATAGACTACAGAAAAAAAAATTTGATCTCATTTATATGGTTCCATTTTTTTAATGTCATGATTGATACTCTGCAACAAATGGAGTAGCAGAGGACTAAATGGAAGAAAACATAAAGGCACATGCCCAACCTAAGCGTAGCACAAAATCATTACAATATTTTTGATATTTTAACATTGAAAACTATTAAAATATTTATGAGACAAAAATATTTCATGAACTGAATTCCTAAAGGGAATTAATTAAACAGGAACTAGTATCGTTGCCACAGAAACTAATAGAGAGAAGCACTAAGAAATCTTTTACTGTGAAAGCAGTTTCAAAAGCTAAACAGACTAGGGACCAGCAGTTAGCGTAATGGCTATGTTGCTGGACTCCCACATGGTCGACCGTGGTTCAAGTCCCGAACCCGGTGGCTTAAACTCATGCTGGGCGCATGTGTGCGTGCCCAAGATCCCGAGAGGAAAATGGAGGAGAAGGGATTGCGCCGTGGCCATCCCCCCTGGGGGGTGATTTCTCGCTTTCTATCTCTCTGTCTCTGTCTGTCTGGCGAGTGCACGTGCTCTATAACAAAAACCTCTAAAAAAAAAAAAAAATGCTAAACAGACTAGAAAAAATAATCCAAAGACTCAAATTTAAAAGTAAATGCCTGGGCGGGAACCAGCAGTTGGCGTAATGGCTATGTCGCTGGATTCCCACGTAGTCGACCGCGGTTCATGTCCCGGACCCGGTGGCTTAAAACTTACGCCGGGCGCGTGTGCGTGCGTGCCCAAGATCCCGAGAGGAGAATGGAGGAGAAGGGATTGCGGCATGACCATCCCCCCTGGGGGGTGATTTCTCACTTTCTGTCTCTATGTCTCTCTCTGTCTGTCTGGCGAGCGCACGCACCCTACAGTGAAAATCTCTCCAAAAAAAAAAAAAAAAAGTAAATGCCTGGGCTAGCCTTATTAGTGATTAGGGGAGTCAGGATCCCACATGGCCAACCGCAATTCATATACCAGCCCCCACCACCACCCACACCAGCTTGAAAATATGCTGGGTACATGTGCATGTGTGTGCCCAAAAAATCCGTAGGGGATGGAGAAACAGAGGAGAAGGAATTGCAACATGATTACAGCTTATTTAGGTTTGCTTTTTCTTCTCTCTCACTCTTTCTCTCTCTCTCTGGCAAGCATGCACACACATCCTCTGGCAATTTTAAAACAAAGTAAATACTTAACATTTCATAAAAATTTCAATTTTAAATGATTACTAGTAAAATGTAATCATAAAGTTAAAAAATATTTTTCACTTTTATTTTTTTTTTAATTTGCCAAAGGACATGAGTGCTCACCAGAAAGAGATAGTGAGAAAGAGAGAGAAAGTGAGGAAGCACCCCCCTGCATGGGGCATGGTTAGGCCACAATCCTTTCTCTTCCATTTCTCACTCCTTTGGAGTTTTGGGCACACATGTACATGTAACCAGCATATTGTTCAAGCCACTGGGTCCAGGATTCAAATGCTATGTGGGGTCCAGGTGCCTTCATCACTATACCACCAGCTGGCCCAACATCTGGACTCTTAACAGTATTTATTTTAACATTTTATTTATTTACTTATTTTTAGTTTTTGCCATAAACTGTGTACACTTACCAGCAAGAGAATAACAAAAACTCAAACCAAAATATTTCTTTCAATAAATGTGTCATTCACAATTATTGAAAATACTGATTCATTAATATTATTTGGCTATAACAGTAATCACAATACAGAACTACTGAAAAAAATGATAGGTGACAATTAAATTTTCCTAAATATAAGTTTATGCTATTCAACCATGCTTTACCTTTCACACAAAAGTCCAAACAGCTGTGGAGCAGAAAGGTCAGGCAGATCATATGAGGCACATATGCCTACATTATTAATTCCTGTGCAGGCCAGGGTACACCCACCATTCCCCAAGCTCCCAGGCCTCTAGGGCTTAGTACCTTTTTAACTGATAAGGAAGAATCTTCCTAAGAAAACACATGTAGGAGGTTAAATGTTCTGAAAAAGTTTTCAATTTCACAGTTGTTTCCTGAAAAAAAAAAAGCAATAATAATAATTTCAAAGTTAAAGAGCTACTGAACAAAGAGGAGCACCCACTTCCAGAAATAAAACAAGGAAGGAAATTACCAGGACAGTCACAGTATCCTCAGTAATACTTTCAAATAAATGAAGCATTCCTTCCTCAAGAGGGCGGACATAGGAAGCATTTTCATGAAGGTACTGTGAGAACTAAACAGGAAGGAAGGAATTGTGCATTAAATCACTTGAAAATAATAAACTTCCAATATGTTTGTAAACAGATCTGAGTTAGAAACCTAAAATCTTTTGGAGATTTTTCTAGAAAATTTGGCTTTTACTCAGATGTTCCCCTCTAATGACCACAGATAATATCCCCAAGTCCCCCCTCCCATACCAAACTGAGGCTCTAGAAGAGGGGTGACACAATTAATACCCAAGCATCCAAGGAAACCGGGAAAAGATACTGCTTCACAGCCCAGCACCAAAGGCTGAACACCAACTTCCCCTGAACACCTACTTCTCCACAAGGGTCCCAGTTAAAAAAAAATAAAGAAAAAAAAAAAAAGAAAAACTGAAAATCAAGACTATATGATACAGATTTTTGTGTTACATACTTTTTTTTTTTTAAAAAGGTCTATTTAAGACAGTTTTTAAAGTTATTTTTATTGTACTTGATATATGGATTAGTAAATTCCAGAAATGTAATTATTATCAAATTAAGCAGATAGGAGTTAGCAGGTAGTGTGATGGTTATGGCACTGGATTCCCACATGGCCAACCATGGTTTGAGTCCTAGACCAGGCATTTTGAAAATCACGCTAGGCGTGTGTGTGTGTGTGTGTGTGTGTGTGTGTGTGTATTCAAAACCCCAGGAGGAGAAAGAATTGCAGTGTGGCCATTCCTCCTAGGGGTTGATTTCTCACTTTCCCTCTGACAGGCAAGAGCACATGCCCTATAGCAAAAACCTAAAAAAAAAAAAATTAATTTGCAAAGCCAGCAGGTGGCTAAGTGGTAGATTCCCATATGGCTGACTATGGTTTTAGTCCTGGATGCAGCAGCTTGAAAATCAAGCCAGGCAAGACCAGCAGATGGCCTAATGGTTACATCGCTGGACTCCCACATAGTCAAACACAGCTCGAGTCCAGGACCCAGAGGCTTAAAACTCACATCTGGCCCATGCGTGCATGCCCAAAATCCCGAGAGGAGAATAAAGAAGGGATTGCGGTGTGGCCATCCCCCTGATTTCTCACTTTCTATCTATCTGTCTCTCTCTATTTGGTGAGTACCCACACCCTATACCAAAAATCTCTCTTAAAAAACAAAAGGAGGACTAACAGCGTAATGGCTGTCGCTGAACTCTCACGTAGCCGATCGCAGTTTGAGTCCTGGACACAGTGATTGAAACTCACGCCAGGTGCGTGTGCATGCGTGCCCAAGATCCCGAGAAGAGAATGGAGAAGGGATTGTGGCATGGCCATCCCCCCTGGGGGGTGATTTCTCACTTTCTATCTCTCTGTCTCTATCTTTCTGGCGAGTGCATGCACCCTATAGCAAAAACCTCTTTTTTTAAAAAAAAAAAAGAGAAAATAAAGCTGGGCACTTCTACATGCATGGCTAAAATCCATGGAGGAGAATGGAAGAGTAGGGACTGTGGGGTGGCCATCCCTCTAGGGGTGATTTCTCACTTTCCCTATCATAGCCTTTGTCTGTCTCTCTGTAGCAAGCGTACATATTTGGGGGAGTGTGGAAAATCAGCATATTAAAATTTTTATAACTGTCACTGATAACTTAGCATTTAAAAGGACTAATACAGTAGGAAGATTAAGTTCAGGAAAAAATTCTCCAGACATGCAGACAATTAAAAAGCAAAAGGGTGGGACCAGCAGTTAGCGTAATGGCTATGCCGCTGGACTCCCATGTAGTCGACCATGGTTTGCATCACGGACCCGGTGGCTTAACACTCACGCTGGGCGCGTGTGCGTGCGTGCTCAAGATCCCAAGGGGAGAATGATGGAGGAGAAGGCATTGCGGCGTGGCCATCCCCCCTGGGGGGGAGGGTGATTTCTCACTTTCTATCTCTGTCTGTCTCTGTCTGTCTGGCGAGTGCAAGCGCCCTATAGCAAAAACCTCTCTCTAAAAAAAAAAAAAAAAAGCAAAAGGGTAATCTTTGCTTATGAAGGATATCAATTATTAAGTATTACCTAATGGTTCAAATTTCAATTTCTCAGTGTAGAAATGTGAGATTTCACTTTGCCAAAATGTTATTCAACTGACCCTATCTCAAACTACACAAATATGGCCCTGGGCAACTCACTCTGAATCTTTAGAGCTATATAAAAAGATGACCTCAAAACTTACAATTCTAAAGGTCTACTTTATGATTCTCTGAACAAATTTAAACACTGGTCATCTTTTTAAGAAATGGCTTCTGAATCTCTTTCAGTATTATAGACTTATTAGAAAAGTTCCATAGAGACTTAAAAGGCCAAAGCACCAAAGGTAAAATATTGAGAAATATATGATTTCTTCAAAGTAATGAAGTGCTTCAGACAAATTAACAGATTTGATTCTCACCATATGGACATAATATGGCAACAAGATAAAATAAAATCAAAATATGAACAGAGAATCAGTATTAGGTAGAAAATATTTTTGATATTTTAGGAAGCATAAAGTGTAATTATACTAATGTGTTACAATAGTGTTTTCTCTGTTTAGGTCTTCTGAAAGCTTTTTTCCCTCAGTGATTTAATCACGCCTTTCCCTGTTAGGAGAGAGGAGGCCTATCCAGCTTCTTTCCTCCTATTAAAATCTTGCTCTTCTTCAAGTTCAGTGAAAGATTACCCCAAAGAATCTTATCCAGAAACTACCACCAACAGCAATCTTCCCTCCCTGATGATCTCATTCATACCTCTTACTCACACTGAGTCTTTTAACAACTCCCCTAACATTTAATTTCTTAAGAATTTCCATTTTAGGGAAGCTAGCAGGTGGTGTGGTGGTTAAAGTGCTGGACGCTCCCACATGGCTAATGACGGTTCACATCCCAGACTTGGTGGCTTGCTTTCTCATTTTCCCTCTTTCTCTCTCTGTCTGTCTCTGGTCAAATTAAAATAAATGAATAAATAAATAAAATAAAAAATTCTTTTTTAAAAAAAAGAGAATTTCCATTTCAGTCATATTTTATCTTGAGAGTGAAGACTGACTTTGGGGGCTTTTCCATGCCCTCCATAGTATTTGGTTGATGCACAGTAGTCATCTGAAAGTAATTAAGGTCTCCCTAGTTGTTCAGGGCAAGCAAAAAGTATTGTGAGTTAAATTTACCTTCTGATTTAATGGAGATATAGTATCTATGGCAGAATCAACAGGAAAAATCTGAATCCTCTGTTCTGTATAGGTGTGAAAGTTCAGAAGTGCAGTCACGAGATCTTGAACAAAACCAAGGGCCTGCCCAGCAATATCCCGCATTTTCAGCTTTAAAATAAAAAGTAGACAGTTAAATCAACTACCAAATTACTATTTTAAAACAACTTCATTAGGACTGATTCTGGAGAAAAAATTTGAATTCTAGTGTGATTATTCCTTAATTTAAGTTCATTTGCTCCCACATGAATTTAATATTTCTGTTGAAGTACATTTTGAAAGATACTAGTTTTGACAAATACAAATCCTCCACTGAGACCATTTATTGAGTGCACAGTTCACCAACCTAGAAGAAAAGCATGGCTCAAAAATCAGTGCATCTTTGGGACCAGCAGATGGTGTAATGGCTGCATCGCTGGACTCCCATGTAGTCAACTACAGCTCGAGACCTGGACCTGGTGGCTTAAAACTCATGCCAGTACATATGCGTGCATGCCCAAAATCCCAAGAGAGAATGGAGAAGGGATCTTGGTGTGGTTATCCCCTCTGGGGGGTGATTTCTCGCTTTTTGTCTCTGTCTCTCTAGCTAGCATATGTGCTCTATAGGAAAATCTCTCAAAAGAAAAAGGATCTGCATCCCATAATTCAGGCCTAGTGTTATCAGCAAAGATCTGCATTATTCGTGAATTCAATAAAGAAGTAAGTTACACAATTTTAAAAATGGACAAGAAAGTAAGGCTAAAGTTAAAAACAATTATGTAATATACTAAACAGAGGTCCAAACAACTAATTCTTATTACTGTAGAGTTTGATATACACATGGCTGACTATAAAAGCAGGAGTTTCATCATTACCTGATGTCTTCTATTGTGGAGTGGAACATTCAGAGCGTTATACCGACTATATTCTACAAAACAAAAATGATGTCTATTAAGTCTCTCATATTATATTCACAGAATACCAGCTTTACTGCCAACTAAGAAATGCTCAGCAGCAAAATCAGGTTTGTATAATAATTTAAGATGACCAATGCCACAACCACAATATCGAAGAATAACAGAATGTACAGTGAGTCAGAGGTTTCTCAGATAAAGTAATACTTACAGGTTTTTTTGACTTTGGGATTAACACAAACAAATCCTGTGTTTCTATTTCTAAGAAATCATCTCAAATACGTCTTTGGAACCTATCAAGACTGTTTAGAAAGGCTCACAATGTCCTGGCTGTATTCAGTCATTCTCTCTTCTAAAGTAGTCCTACACAAAGATGCCACACTAATCATCCCAAAATACCTCTATTTTCACGGCACTACAATAGTATACTTGACAATCTCTCACTGTCTGCTACTGCTGATCCTAATGACTCATTCTTAATTTTCCTGGAATGTTTTCTCTGTCTTTCCAAGGGTACTCCTCTCTTTTTTACTTAAGTTCATTCATTTTTTATTCATAACAGAACATGTGCATGCACATTAGAAAGAGGAAAAAAACCCTTGACAGGATCTTATCACACTGTAGCAAGTGCACACATGCCCAGTGAATTTTCAGGCCAACCCAGGATCTAAACCTGCAACCAGCCATATGGCTTCCAGCATGGCAGTTCAGTTTGCTACCACTACACCACCAGGCTAGGCCTCATGGTCCTTTTCTCTACCCCAGAGTCTGTCATCAATCTTTATAGCTTCTAAACCTCTGGCCTCACACTCCCTCAACCTTTTTACTTTAATAATCTTCATTTCTAATCACCACTTAAGTTACTCAAACTTGTTCTCCTCTGCCCATGTCATCGGTCAGAATGACTCTGAGCGAAAATCTGGTTCTGAAAAGTCCTGTGCCATTCTCATCCAGTTCTCTCTTAGGTTTCCACTGCTACTATATCAGCCATGTATTCCCAGCTGTGTCTCCCATCCATCAATACCTCCCTAGTGCTCCATCGGCCCTCTTCAGCCTTTGTTTTCTTCCCAGCCTGGTGAATCATTTCAATGAGCTTTTGCTAACACAAACCCACAGCAGGGTCAATAATACATTCTGCCTATCTTCAGGAGGCTTCAACTTTACTTATATTTCCCACAACATCTACTCCAAATCTTTGCTATTTTAAGCCCCAAATACCATTTCTCCTCTCACTCACCCCCAAACCACCCTCTCTATCTCCCACTATGCCAAAACCAAAGCCAAAGTGAAAGGGTTCTTGCACTCCCATCCTCCACCTTGGTGTCTCTGGCTCACAAATCCCTTCCTCGGCTAGTGCTCCTCCTGGGCCCTTAGCAGTAGCTGCTCCTGACCCATTTGGGGATTTTGTCCATCAATCCCTCCTTCTGGCCCATCTTTAGTATCATCTCATTACAAAAAATTGTTGTTGTTGTTGTTGTAGCTCATTTAATGCTATCTCCATAGTGACTTCTTCCCTTCTGTTCATATTTAATTCTCGGCCCTCATTCCCAGCCCCCATTCCCAGCCCCCACACACTCAGCCTTTTCTTTTACTTCACTAGTTTGTCTTATCCTTTTCCATTTCTTTCATTCCCACTGCTCAAAGAATGGCATTGTTCTGTCCATTTCCTCTGTACCCATTCACCTCTAACTCATGCTGATTATTTGGTACCCACCTCCAGCCTGCAAAGAAGTGCTTACTAGTCCTCTCAAAGTCACCAAATTCCGTCTCCAAACCCAGTAGCCTTACCTCCATCACCCTCCCTGACCTCTCCACAGCAATGCACAGAACTGGCCACCAGGCTGGAACACTCCCTCTTCCAGCTTCTACTCATTCTGCTTTCCCAGCTTCTCCACCACAGCCCCTCCCCTGCTCCTGACAACAGAGATGGAGAATCCCCAAGGCCCTTGCAAAAGCCTCTCTACACTGTGCAGTCCTTGTCTACACTCAGTCTACACTCCTAGCATGGGGGCTCATCCAGCCCAGTAGAGTTAAGATCAGTGTCTTTCCCGAGGTCCATCAGAACATTAAACAACAACAAAGCCATCATCGTTCCTATAATCCTGCTCTCGCCTGTGTCTTTTATTTCCCCCTGTCTCCTCCCTCTCTCTTGCCTTCCTGAAAGGTCCAGACTATTCTTTCTCCTTCCCCAAGATCTTCTGCACCTCCCTGACAACTCAGGACTGTCATTGGGATAGTCTCAACCTCCTCTACCCTTTTCCAGGGTAGTCTATACTGTTTCCAGATTAACCTTGTGATTACGCAAATCTCATCATGACAGTCCCTGGCCAAAAAACATCTCCAACAATCCTACAGCCTTTTGAATTAAGTCCCAATTCCTTAGCCCAGAACTCTAGAGTCCACTCCCACTTTCCCTTTCAGAAATTACCTGTCACTGCCTTCTATATCTCTCCAGCTCTGGCCTCCTGTCATAATTAACACCTGTTCCTGAGGCCATGACAGCACTTCTTATCATATTCCACACAATTCTCTGGCTTGGTATCCATCATCTCTCCCCAGTGAGACCTGCTCAAACATCCAGGTCCAGTTCAAAGCATACACCTTCCAAAAAGGCTTCCACAAACAACTGTATCAGCAGTAATATCATCTTCCTCTGAAATCCCAAGAGGTTCTTTCCAGCACAGTCTAGGTTATATCTGAGACATTTCTTTATCTATCTCTGCTTACTAGGCTATAAATTCCCTGGGGGTAGAGACTTTTGTCTTATAAATTTTTGCATTCTCTATGCTACTTACACGCAGCAAATGATCTCAAAGTATTTTGAGATTGAAAGTAGTAACCCACATGTGACATAATAGAAGTGAGAAACTAAAACAAAGGAAGAACAAATCCAAAAAAAGATTCAGAAGGAAATTATTAGGACCTGATGACTAACAGATACAAGGATGAAAGGGAAAACGAAATGCCAAGGTTTCAAATCCAGTGCATCAACGTATGCTAGTGCTATTTACATTGATATAGACACTAGAAATAGGTGCTAATTTTTCAAAAGGGAATTTAGTTTTTTCGATATAATAATAATATGCTGATTTTAGTGTTAAATCAAATTGTTATTTTCCTTTGATTTCTTTTCTTTCCTCCTTTTTTCAATTCTTTTTTTTTTTTTTTTTTCCCTCTTTTTTAAATTTTTTTTTTTTTTTTTTTTTTTAGGAGAGATGATTTTGCTTTGAGTACATATGCTTGCTGGAGAGAGACAGAAAGAAAGCGAGAAATCACCACTTGGGGGCTTGGCCATACTGCAATTCCTTCTCCATTCTCCTCTTGGGATTTTGGGTGGGCTCACACACACACACTCAGCATGAGTTTGAAGCCTCTGGGTCCAGGACTTGAACCGTGGTCCAATATGTGGGAGTCCAGCGACATAACCATTACGCCATCTGCTGGTCCCTCTTTCCTTTTTTAATCAAATCTTACCTAAGAAAAATTTAGGGAAGTAAAACATTAACTTCAGTCATGTGATTGTAAAAAAAGGAAATGTGTACATTTGGATGTAACTTTCCAAATCTAAACAAATATTTTCTATGCTTTCAAAGATTTCACTAACTCTTGTCTAATGGCACATATTACACATGTAAGGTGATCAAAAAAAAAAAAGTTCTTTTCTGTTGCTCTTGGGCATATAACTTACTAGACTGTTTCTCGAATGAACAGGAAGCAGAACTTACCCAAGTCAGCTTCCTCACTATGGCTGGAGATTGTCCAAGGGGCAGGAGATAGCAGGCTGAAATACCAGGCTAAGAAAATCTACCTCCCATGCCAACTCTCACCCTCCCTCCCCTCTGAAAGACAACTTTTCTGGTACATTTCAACCACTTAACACGTAGTTTTGGCTTTTACTTTGGTGTATGCTAAATACATGCAATCAAAAAATTATGGATTGGAGCTTCTTCTAAGAAGTCTGGCTTTGGAGTAGTTAGTTACACAATAGTTTTAAATCTCCCTATGAAATATGAGGGCCATGGAGCCAGCAGATAGAGTGGTGATTAAGGTTCTGGACTCCCACACTCTCAAACTGTGGTTTGAGCCTTGGAACCAGAGGCTTGAAAATCACACCAGGCACATGTGGGTGCATGCCCAAAATCCCAACAGAAGACTGAAGGAGAGGGATTGTAGTGTGGCCATATCTCTAGGGGGTGATTTCCCACTTTCCCTCTCTCTCCCTTGCTCTCTCTCTCTCCAGCAAGCACATGTGTCCTGTGGGGAAAAAAAACTGAAGGAAAAAAAACAAAAAACAAAAACAAAGAGGGCCAAACATGATCAAAAGAACAAAAAGAAAGTAACCATCTGTTGGACCAATTAAGTTTTATGCCAAATAGATTAGAAATTATTTTAATTAGTTGGTTACCACAGAGCAATTCAAGGTTGCAAATAATAGAAAACTGTACATAATACCTACTTGTATCATTAAAAGGTACTTTTTCGCTGATGATTGACAAGGATTCCTCTAATCTACCTGACAAATCTTCATGAAGATTCTTTAACTGTAATTGGCTGAAAGAAAAAAAAAATTTTTTAAACCACATTATCACCTATTAGACATTGAATCCTCATTTGCTTATTACCTCAACAGCTGGTATAAACTTTCAAAGAACTGTACCTGATCTGGGATAGTCATGGTAGAAAGGCTGTTAGAAGATAAAGATTCTAAAGCTCCTGAGACCTCTGTGGAATTATGAGGAAGTCTAGAAGAATTTAACAGAGTTCCATTATCTTAGCTGTAAATCTATTTCCCCAAACTCAAAGTAATTTTAGAGTTACTTGGAAATCATAAATTTCCTCTTTGTGATGCATATATGTCTATACAAGTGTTCCTTTTTATAAGTTTGGTGGGTTTTGTTTGTTTGTTTTTTGCCAAAGGGTGTGTGCGCTCACCAGAGACAAAGAGAGGGAAAGTGAGAAATCACCCCCCATGGGAAATAGTCATGCCACAATCCTGTCTCCTCCATCTCCTTCCTTTCAGGATTTTGAGCACATGGGCCTGGCATGCTTCTCAAGCCACCAGGTCTAGGACTTAAATCATGCAGTTGGCCCATATGGGATCCCATCCCCTTACACACCACACCATGGGCTGGCCCTAAAAATGTTTTTTTAAAAGAATTATATCAGATTTTTCTTTTCTTGAGCTCAAAAGTTAGTAACACGTTTTTTATTCAGTTATGAGTGCAGGTACACAACTAAATCATGCATATAATTCTACCAATACAACTAAAGTAATATTCACTTTATAGATCCTGTTAAAACTTAAAATATTACATATGTCATTTACCAAATAAATGTTGGAGTATGCATTCACCACACATTGCTAAGTAATAAAAGATTCAGTTATCTCCAATTAAATTAAAAAGACTCATACTATTTAAAATGTACTATAAAGAGATTGGCATGGTAGTAATTAGTCAGCCTTCCTGCCTGAGACTATCAGAGGGTCCCTTTTGTTAGTGTAGTTTGAAAGGGAAAGTACCCAGTCTACAGTACAGGAGCCCCAGATCACTATCTGCTATGGCCCAGAAGCCCTACGGGTTGAGGACTAACTGACATATAAGCCACTCTATCAAGAGGCCCCAGATACGCCAGACTGAAAAGGACCCTGGAGATTATCTACTCCCATCTCCTCATTTCAAATGTGAGAGTTAAGACAGAGACGCTGCTAAAACCAAAACTCAGGTCTTCTGATTCTTATTTCAGGGCCCTTTAGAATTCATATTTCCACATACCATTCTTCTGTTCGAAGTCGACAATCCTTGGCCTCCTTTTCTAAAGTCTGAGATTTTACCTGAATTTAGAAGAAAAAGAAAAGCACATGGCTCAGACTACAGATAGGAGCACACTGCAGGCAACAAACAGTCTCACCTGGCATGACTAATTTCATGTTCCATAAAGTGCACAGACCACTTAGAAAAGCCTGAACAACATTTTAACATGCTCTCACAAACAGTGGGACTTACTTCAAGTTTGGCCTTGTCGTTCTGCAGTTTCTCAATGGTTTCCATGTACTTCCGTGTCAGGCCATCAACCACAGCTTGGTGCTGGGCTGCTTCTGTCTCCAGAGTAGCCAGCCGACTCCTCAGCTCTGCTTCCACATGCTTGTGCTGCTCGTCAGCTTCAAAAAACTGAAAAGACCATTTTCTCTTCTCATAATATGCTACTATATGTACGTGAGTAAAGTAACAGCAGTGGCCGTTTACTGAGCAACTTCCATAGGTTCCACACGCTCACTGTGCTGAACTCATACAGGCAGTACCTCACTTCATTCGCAGTTTATTAAAGGTAGGACTACCATCATGCCTCCTTTAGAGATGTGGAAACTGAAGCTTAAAGGGTTACATAACTTGACTAATGTCTCACAGATAAAATACCATAGAAGTGAGATTTGAACACAGGAAACTTATGCCAAAGCCTGCACCTTCTTCTTCTCAGTCTCATAAAATTCTTTCCTTTCCTTTCCTTTTCTTTTTCTTTTTTTTTTTTTGAGAGAGATTTTTTGCTATAGGGCGCATGCACTCACTGGAGACAGAGAGAAACAGAGAGACAAAAAGCGAGAAATCACCCCAGTGCGGGGGGTGGGGGGGTGGTCATGCGGCAATTCCTTCTCCTCCATTCTGCTCTCAGGATTTTTGGCACACATGCACACATGCCTGGCGTGAGTTTTAAGCCGCCAGCCCCGAGCCTTGAACTCCAGTCGACTACATGGGAGTCCAGCGATATGACCATTACATCATCTGCTGGTCCCCCTTTTCTTTTCTATTCTTTTTTCTTTTTTTTTTAAAGTTTTTTGCCATAGGGTACATGTGCTCACCGGAGAGAGACAGAAGGAAAGTAAGACACCCCCTACCCCCACCCGCAGGGATGGCCATGCTGCAATCCTTTCTCCTCCATTCTCTTCTTCAGATTTTGGGTGCATATAGGCCTGGAATGAATTTCAAACAGGGATTGGGGTTCAAACCCCAGTCAGCCATGTAGAACTCCAGCACCTTAGCCACTACGTCAGCAGTTGGCCCCTCAGTCTCATCTACTTCAAACAATTTCTGACACATGTAGAATTCAACTGATCAGGATAGCATTTTTCTACTAAGCTAATTTGTACAATGAAACCGTCAAAATTAAAATAGATGTTATTCCTAAAACAGATAAAACTCTCCCCCTTAACAAGAGACCAATACTACTGATTTAATGATGAAAGACACAAAATACAGAGGTGTAACTTCGTTTTTAAAAATACTTTTCAAAAATTGAGAATTAGTGTGTGTTTATTTTCCATTTGACAAAATTGGAAAAAAATTAAAAAGTGAGAGATAGCTGAATACACTACACCATGATTCTTGCAGTATCCTCAACAGTTCTGGGGTAGAAATTGACTTTTCAACATTCCATAGGTATGTGAGGACCGCCATGAGCAAGGCCCTGTCCTAGGCTATGTATACAAAAATACGCATCATCCACACCCCTACACACATTACAATCTAACAAGGTAGAGCTAAAAACTATTAAACATCAATAAATTAAAAAGTCAATACTACTGGGGCCAGCAGGTGGTGTGGTGGTTAAAGTACTGGACTCTCACATGGCTGACTACAGTTTGAGTCCAGAACTCAACAGCTTAAAAATCACACTGCAGGAACCAGCAGGTGGTGCAGTAGTTAAGGTGCTGGACTCCCACATGACTGGCTGTGGTTTGAGTCCTGGACCTGGCAGCTTGCTTTCTCACTTTCTCTCTCTGTATTTCTCTCTAGTCAAATTAAAATAATAACAAATAAAATAAAATAAAAAATTCTTTAAAAAAATAAAATCACCCTACATGCCTACATGCCTGAAGTTCCAAGAGGAGAATAGAGAGAAAGGATTGAGGAGTGGCGGCCCCCCCCTCCAAGGGTTGATTTCTCACTTTTCCTCTCTGTCTCTCTCTGGCAAGCACATACACCCAAAGACAAAAACTTGAAAAAAAAAAAAATCAACTCTATTTATTAATAAGCTTCCATCTAAACAATTCAGCCAATCATTTTATGTATGTTACATATATATAAAAATAACATATATAAAATATATAACACACATAAAATGGTTAACACAAGTGTATGTCTGAATTGTTAAGTTGGAAAGCTATTCTGCCAAACTCTAAACAGAATATACTTCAAAGCACACATCCACATTAGGTGAGATTTAAGAAGCAAATAAATGACACTGAAATATACAAAGACCACAGGAGATACTAAAACACCAACAGATACACAAAACACTATATCTGCATTGGTTTTTCCAAATCATACAACCAATTGTTTTTCCTTGCTATAGGGCACATCCACTCACCAAAAAGATAGAGAGAAACAAAGACAGAAAGCAAGAAATCATCCCGAGTGGATGGCCATGTCACAATCCCTTCTCCTCCATTCTTCTCTTGGCATTTTAGGCACCTGTGCATGTACCCAGCATGAGTTTCAAGTCACCAGGCTTAGGACTTGAACCGTGGTCGACCATGTGGAGTCTAGCACCTTAACCACTGCGCCACCTGCTGGTCCCATATGACCAATTTTTAAAACCAGATGGAAAAAAAACGGAAAGATTTTCTTACTTGTATATGCAACCGTTCATTCTCCTCTATCTTCTTTTGCAGATCTTCATCAAAGACACTCTTCTGCTCTTGACTCAACTGAGAAGAAGACTCTCCACTTTTCTGATGGAAAGAATAAGTTATGTCCACATAACTTTCATCCTTTAGAGAAACATCCTAAGGTACACAGATTCTCTATCACCTTAGTAGCTTGTGTCTTCTACGTGTTCACCATTCTCAAACAATCCTGCAAAAGGTACACAGTCCATCGTTTAACTTTTCCTATGTAACACAAGCTGGAACTGTGACTATGTATTGCAATAGGCAGGAAAGCTTTAAAAAGAGAGAGAGAAAAGAATAAATGAAGCTCACTATTCTTTCCAGATGAATTTAGGAGTAGTTCTGTTAGAGGACAGAATACACTCAGAAAGCTAGCAATATAAATACACTAATAAATATCATTTTAGTTTGATCTTCTGGTTTGGGAAATGAAAGTTTTAGCAGTTTCCTGACTCTAGGTAATTGAACTCTTTAAAGAAATTGCAGTAAAATATATAGAAGTATTCACAAAGATAAGTTTATACAAAAGTTCATATAAATTTATAAAATGTTTAAAAATCAATAACCTTATAAAAGATAGTTACTATATAAGAATAAGAAAAAGAGTTCAAACATTAATCCCTTCCTTTTGAATTTTTACTAATATTAGTTTTTTCTACATAGAAGAATAGCACTATTTACAAGCTCTAATAATGAACATCTGTGTTCATGTATTACACAGAACTGAGACTATTCAAGGAATGGTCCAACAATTAAACTGTTCTGATATCTGTGCCACCCTTCTCTGCCTTTCTGTAGACTCACTCCTCCAACTAACTCACTCACTAATTCAATGTAAATGAATGATTTAAAAGCCCTTTGAAAATGAATCAACTATAAAAAAATTAAATATGCATTACATTAGGAACACAAGAGGTGCATAAGAAATACCACTGACTGATACATTTGGGGTCCTTAGTGTTTCCAAATTTGGAAAGCTCTCATTAAAATTAATTCACAAGTGTTTCACCCAAACTTCTGCTAACTAGTCCTAGGAGAGGACAGTAATAACCTGGGGAGCATATCTGAAGTCGAGATGGCTATTATCTCTCAAAGCACTTTATAATTTCCAGGGCAAGTGTTTTTTGACAGCTTCCCAAGTGATTCTAACACCAACATTCTAACATCTGTTAGGCCCCTTCTGTTCCCCCCTTTACATAAACACTACCAGCCTAGAGAAACCTTCTGTGTAGAGGAAACGAACATGGGAAGGGTACTGATGAGTATGTATGGTGAATGCCCATTCTACAGCAATCACTGAACTTTTTGTACTTTTACATGATACCATTTAATTCTCAAAATAAATCTAAAGGTCTCATCCCCACTTTACTGATGGAGAAAGTGAGGTTGCAAGGTTAAGAGATTTGCCTATAGTCATAGATTTACAAACGGCAGGCAAAATATCCAAGCCTGGGCTTCACTCCAAAGCCTGTGCTCTTCCTCCACACCATGCCTTTTTAGAGTTAGTGTGTCTTCTTCCCTTCTATCCCTTTTATCATTACCACTTCAATCTACACTTTGGTGGAATATGGTTCTATATACAAGTACATATAAGACTTAAAGACTTAATCACTAACTCCTACCTTTAAATAAAGAAGGAACTGGTCTCATGGCACAGAACCTGGGTATTGTGCAGAGAAAGCCTGACCCCACATAGCTGAACGGAGTTCAAATCCAGGCCACAGGTTTCATGCCAGTGCATGCATGCATATGTGCCCAGGGTCCTGACTGGATGGAGAATTGGAAGAAGGGGGACTGTGGTGTAACCAGACCTACTGGGGGGGATGCTTTTCTCTCTCTCTCTTTCTCTCTCTCTCCTCTTTTCCCTTCTCTCTTATGCCTGGACATATACCCTCCAGCTTTTTTTTTTTTTTTTTTTTTTCATTCCCTGAGTACATTTGCTGGTCAGGGGAAGAGAGGGGAAAAATGACAAAGCAATCCCCATGGGGAATAGTCATGCTGCCATCCCTTCTCCAGTATCTCTCCTGCCTTCCAGGATTCTGGGCACACACGCACACACGCCCAGTGCATTTCTCAAGCGGCCAGGTCACAAACTCAAACTGAAGAGTCAGTCATGTGAGATTGAGCCACCTTAACCCCCACACCATAGGTTGGTCCCTTGGCACTTGAGAGAGAGAGAGAGAGAGAGAGAGAAATAAAGAATTCAAGTTGTATGTTAATCATTTCAGTTCTCATTTATTTATTTTTTAAGAGAGATTTTTGCTACAGGGTGCATATACTCACTGCAGAAACAAGAGAGAGACAGAGAGACAAAAAGTGAGAAATCTCCCCCCAGGGGATGGTCACATGGCAATCCCTTCTCCTCTATTCTCCTCTCAGGATTTTAGGCATGCGCAAGCAGTTTTAAGCCGACAGGTCCTGGACTCAAACTACAGTCAACTAGGGGTAGTCCAGCAACATAACCATTATGCCACCTGCTGATCCTCTGTTCTCATGTTTTTAGCTCTGTTTTGTAACTATCTCTTGGCCAAACCAAGTACATTTAAAAATAAAATAAAAAGAACAACTTCTAATCATAGAATGTTTAAAGCACCAGATCGTCCCATTTAGAGCATTAAGAATCTCTTGCCTCACTATAAAAAAAAAATAAAAGAACTTATTTTTTAAATCTAAGGACAAGAATACTAAACAAGCCTTATAAGAATAAACACTGAGACCAGCAGATGGTGTAATGGCTTTGTCACTGGACTCCCGTGTAGTCAAATGTGGTTCGAGTCCCAGACTAAACTCGCACCGCGCATGTGTGTGTGCATGCCCAAGATCCCAAGAGAAGAATGAAGGAAAAGGGACTGCAGCATGGCCATCCCCCCTTGGGGGGGGTGTGATTTCTCACTTTCTGTCTCTTGCTGTCTTTCTGGTGAGCGCATGTACCCTACAGCAAAAACCCCTCAAAAAAAAAAAAGCATAAACACTAACAGGGCCAGCAGGTGGCATGGTGATTAAGGGCACTGGACTCCCACGTGGCTGACTACAGTCGAGTCTCAAACCTGGCGGCTTGCTTTCTCTCTCTTCTCTGTCCTTCTCTGGTCAAATTAAAAAAATAAATAAATAAAGTTAAATAAATAATTCTTTAAAAAAAATAGAAAAGAATAAGCACTAAGAATATTCTTTTCCATAAGCTTACAAACCAACTTAGGTGTGAGTGTTTCAACTGCTACTTTTACAGGAGGAGTTACACTGACTTCTCTTATTTTACTTGTCCTGTCTTAAATGAAAGGTGATCTCGCATAAGTAAAAGATGTCAACGATCTTGACCGACATGAGACAGTCCATTGACTTTTCTCAGCCACTAAATTAACCATGTACATATTTGCTCCTAATAAATTCTTTAAAACTGACTTGATCCAATATCCAGGTGTAATAATACACATTAAGGAATTCAGCAGTGGGATATTCTGTTAAAACCAAGATGGCCTATAGATGTATGTACCTGATGACAAGGTCACCCTAACTTGCCTTTACTTGAACCTACCTTGTTTTTCTTGCCTCGGGGTTCACTTAGAGCTAGCTCATCTTGAAGCAGTTCTACCCTCTTGGCAAGCTGCAGATTTCGAAATGTTAAACTGTCCATTTCCTGCTGTAGTTTTCTCAGTGACTGATCCTTCATTTTCAGTTGTTCCTATATTGAAATGAAAACAGACCATTCTTCACAGTATAGCCTTGAGGTATAAAAACAATTTTTAAAAATTATTTTGTTTCACCAAAATATAATCAAAACCTCTTTGAATTCGAGTTGTATATTTATCATTTCAGATCTTATGTTTTTAGCTGTTTCATGACAAAATCATCACTGGGTCAAAACAAGCAAATTTTAAAATAGAATTTAAAAAGCAGGCATAGAAAAGTTAACAGACCATCATCAACTTAAAGTAAAATAACTACAACTATGTGTTGTTAAATCTATGAGAGTGAACAGACACAAATCCTGAGACTACAAATTTATAAACTTGAATTTCTTTTTTCTTCTTTTTTAAAATTTTATTATCATTTTTTAAAATCTGACCAGAGAGACATATGGAGAGAAAGAGAGAGAGAAAGAAAGAGAAAGTGAAAAAGCAAGTCACTAGGTTTGGGACTTGAACCATGGTCAGTCATGTGGGAGTCCAGTGCCTCAACCACCATGCCACCTGCTGGCCCCTAAACTTGAATTTTTTTTTTCTTTTTTCCTTGTATTTATTTTACTTGTATTCACTGAACATCATCACAGCATACAAAATGCAATTTCCCATCCAGAATATACCGTATAGTGGCTTAATCATACATGTTATCATCAACAATTTTCCATTTCTTATTTCATACACACACACACGCACACGCACACACATATATACAAATTTTTATTTTTATTCCCTATTTCTCACCCTCTGCCATTTCCCACTGTCTTCCCACATTGTCTCTGGTATCTACAGTTGTTTTCTATTCCTTTTTTCCTCCATATTTTGTTGATTCCCAAAATGTTTTAATCTAAATACTTTCAATTGAAAGTTCAGCTGATATATTATACACATCTGTGCATACATGTCTGATTTTAGGCATGAAACTCTATGAGTAGAATGAACATATATAAAGTAGCACCTAATGAGGCTATATAGCTTACTGTGGTCCTTAAATAGGTATTATTATTATTATTATCATTTTAGAGAACCTCAGACTTTCTGATGATACCCTTCTGTGAGCAAGACAGGAAGAAATACATTTGTATTCTTTTTTTTCTAAAACTCCTCCTTGAATTTAAATCAGTCAAAATGGGGACCAGCAGTTGGCATACTGGCTGTCACTGGACTCTCATGTACTAGATTGGTTTGAGTCCTGGACCCAGTGGCTTAAACTCATGCCAGGCACACATATGTGCGTGCCCAAGATCCCAAGAAGAGAATGGAGGAAGAAGGGATTGCGGCATGGCCATCCCCCCAGGGGGTGATTTCTCACTTTCTGTCTCTCTGTCTCTCTCTGTCTCTCTGGTGAGTGCACACACCCTATAGCAAAAACTTCTCAAAAAAAAAAATCAGTCAAAATGAAGTCTTTTCGATACACTTAATTATTCTGATTTGTCAAAGATAATAACCAATATTATCATATGATAAAAATATTTTGAGATATTCTACATCAATTCATGTTATAAATAAGTGAAAATAGAAACAAAACCTAATATCTGAAAAACACACCTTCTGTCGACCACTCTGTACTATTACATCATAATAAAGTATTGGAATACAAAACTAAACAGAAATACTTCATTTAACCATTAATATTAAATTTTATTTATTACTTTTTTGGGGGGAGGTTTTAGCTATAGGGCGCATATGCTCACCAGAAAGTAAGAGAGAGACAGAGAGACAGAAAGCGAGAAATCACCCCCCTGGGGGGATGGCCACGCAGCAATCCCTTCTCCACGATTCTCCTCTCAGGATCTTGGGCACGCACGCACATGTGCCCAGTGTGAGTTTAAGCCACTGGGTCTGGGAAGGGGCGACTACATTGGGTCCAGTGACATAGCCATTACACCAACTGCTGGTCCCTATTATTGGTTTTTTTTTTTTTTTAATTTGACTAAAGAGAGAGGGAAAGTGAGTCACAAGTGGAGTTCTGTGCCTTAACCACCATGTCACCTGCCAGGCCCCATTTCACTATATATATATTTTTTTTTTGAGAGGTTTTTGCTATTGGGCGCGTGCGCTCACCAGAAAGACAGAGAGACAGAGAGACAGAAAGTGAGAAACCACCCTCCAGGGGAAAAGGCCACACCACAATCCCTTCTCCTCCATTTTCCTCTCGGGATCTTGGGTGGGCACACGTGCACATGTGCCCAGCGTGAATCTGAGCCACTGGGTCCAGGATTCAAACCATGGTCAACTACATGGGAGTCCAGCAACATAGCCATTACACCAACTGCTGGTCCCATCATTTCACTCTATTTTAAATATATATATATTAGGGGGACCAGAAGATGGCGTGGTGGCTAAGGTGCTTGACACTCCCATATGGCTGACCACAGTTCGAGTCCTGGACCTGGTAGCTTGCTTTCCTACTTTCTCTCCCCCCCCCCCATGTGTGTCTCTTTATAGTAGAATTAAAATAAATGAATGAATAAATAAAATTAATTATTTAAAAAATACATACAATAACTTATAAAACATTAATTTAGAAACTTAACAAATTCTGAATATAAAACTTCTTTTTAATAATTTTGGCTTGGATAGAAAGCACTTTGCAAGTATGTGTGGAGCGTCATGAACCATCTCAGCCCATAGCCTCAGCAATAACATCCTTGAGGAGGAGACACTCTCAGAGACAGACTTGTAGGGGCCAACATCAACTAAATAAGTAGATACAGTTCTAGGTCTTAGTTATTTGACTGGAGTCACCTACGACAGTGTTCCCAACATTTTTGGCACCAGGAGCCAGTTTCATAGAAGACAATTTTTCCACAGACCAGGGTGGGGGATGGTTTCAAGATAACTCAAGCGCAATACATTTATTGTATACTTTATTTCTATTATTATTACATTGTAATATACAATGAAATAAAGATACAGCTCACCATAATGCAGATATCAGTGGACTCCCTGAGCTTGTTTTCCTGCAACTAAACAGTCCCATCTGGGGGCTACTATGACAACCTAATGCTGCCACTGATCTGACAGGAGGCACAGCTTAGGCAATAACAGAAGCAATGGGGAGCAGCTGTAATTACAGATGAAGCTTCACTCTCTCACCCACCACTCACATCCTGCTGTGTAGCCCAATTACTAACAGGCCATGGAATGGTACTGGGGTTGTGGACCTCTGACATGGGATATATGAGGGGGTCTTCAAAAAGTTTATGGAAATGCATTTTATGAAAAGACTATGCATGAATTTCAAAATTTTTTGCACCAAAGTAAATTCATACTTTAATTCCATTTTCCAAAATTTTTCTGAAGTATGCTTACATCACTGGGTAGAGGCTACTCTAGAAAGAGATTAGAGTAAAAGGAATTCTAATCCTATCTGTCTAAAGAGAGGACAAAGAGAAGTATGGGAAAGAATAAAAAAGTGAGACTGGCAGGGCCAACACGTGGCATAGTAGTTAAGCTGTTTGATCCCACACAGCTGACTTTATGGTTCAAGTCCTGGACCTGGCAACTTGAAAAACATACCAGGCAAGTGTGCATACATACTCAAAATCCCGAGAAGGGAATGGAGAAGGGATTATGGCATAGCCATCTCCCCGGAGGGTGATTTCTAACCTTCTCTCTCTGTCTCTCTGGTGTGTGCACATTCCCTATAGCAAAAACCTTCAACAAAAAAAAAAAAAAAGAAAAAGAAAGAAGATAAGCAGTATATTTAACTGGAATTTGTCCAAGAAGAAATCCATGCCCTAGAATTAATTTGTCCATCTAAAAGTATTAGTAAACAATATTTATTACATTTGTGCTAGAATGAAACAGAAACAAATTCCTTCCATTATCTGTCATATTTCTCCCCTGGTTGACAAAGGTGCTGATGGTAAAATGCATCACTCAAGAGTGTCCTGATTAACACAGGTTATTACTAGCAAACAGCTCAATTAACGGCAAGATTAATGGACTAAGAGCTGTCTAGTGATCATGACAGATAAGATGCTCTATTAATCCAGATGAATTTAGTTAAATGAAGACCTTGAGGTATGAGACAAATATGTTACATAAAGTCAAGCAATACTTCTTTCATAGTTTTTCATTAAGAAAATCAAAGTACATCTTATTCATACCTAAGCAAATGAGAAAGTTAAACACTCACAAAAAATGTTACCACCCACATCCCAATAAATCAGTGTCAGAGTTGGGACTTTGACACAGAAAACCAACTGATTTCTCTACTTTGAGCATGGCCATAATTCAAATATTCTGGCACATACCTTTAAAGCAGCAGAGTTTGCTTGTTCATCCACAACACCCTTTTTCAGGACCTGGTTCTGAGCCCGAAGCTAAAAACAGGAAGTAATAATTAATTTTCAATATAAAACAATCCCTTATAGCAAGACAATCACTTAGAAATACTGTACGGGAATTATTCATTACACTGAGGAACTAAATATCTTCTCACATACATGAAAACAAAAAATATCAGCCCTGAAGAGGATACTATATATCTTTTTCTTTCCTATTTATTCACGAAAGAGCATAGTTGGTACACACGAGAGTGAGAGAGAAAAAGAAAGATGAGCATCCTCTACAGGGTCTAGTTATCCCACAATCGCTTTCTCTAATCCTCTAGCAACTAGAAAGAAGGGTGGATTTAAAAATAAATAATAATATCCACTTACATTTGAATGTTCATTACATACCAGCATCATCCTAAGTGCTTTCCATTTAATTCTCACAGCTCTCTGGAGTAGGTTCTATAATCATTTCTATTTCACAGATGAAGAAACTGAAGCACAGAGAAATTAGGTGGCAATGCTGAGATTTAGCCCCTAACAGTTTTGATTCCAGTCATAATGCCAATTAGGCAATATTGGCTACTATTTTATAAAGTTAAATGAAACTAAGAAAAGCAGTGGGCTGGAGATGTGGGGAAACCCTTTGGAGATAAGAAGGAGTAGACTTCGGCTTTTTCTTTCTTGATAGTTAATTATCAAAAATTGAGGAATAACAATTTTAACTAATGTATACAAATCAAAAATTATAGAGCTTGACAGATTTTTACTTAGGTATACATCCATATAACCAAGAGTGACAGGATTTAAAAGATAAAAAAATCTACTTCTATAATAAGAAAGTACTTTCAGCCAAGAGATTATAGAGCATTTACATAATAAACATTTGAGTCTATTATAGCCAAAGTAAAAAGCTTACAGATTAATATTCTGAGAGCTCAGAATAGAGACCACAAAAGACCAGGTTCTTCTCTGAGAAACTGAACGAATGGAACAATTTTATCTATGAGATTAAAAAATATCTATTTCTAATTATACATAGCTCATACTGTCTCTCAAGAACAGAGAAAAGAAATGACCCTTTTCTGTGCCAAAAGAGTAGGACTATTTAAATGCTAAACCTTACACTGAGTATTTAAAGCTCAGTAGGAAATATATTTAAGATTCTTAGATGAAAAACAGAATACTGTAAGACAGTCAACACTTTGAGCAAAACCCAGACTGAAAAGGCAAGCTTCTATTTTTAGAATGTCAAAGATCACAGTTCAGTACCACAACAAAAAACAGACCCAAATCCTTACTCTGCCATTTTACTAGACAACACAAACTTAGGAAATTCCCTTAACCTTTTGAGCTTCAGCTATCTGATCAACAAAATGAGTGAACACATCTACCAATCTTCCTTCTTCTGAGATTGTTGTAAGACCCAGATAAGAAACCTAAGTCAAAGCACATTCTACACTATAAAGCACTCCACAGATGGAAACAGAGCTCCTATTATTAGAATGGACTTAAATGGGACATACTTGCCTAATCTAAGGCATCATACATAATAACATATGAGAGAAAATGAAGTAAAAGTGACCTCTGTTATCCAAGAACTTAAAACTAAAAAGGCTAGATAAATATTAAAGCCCAGCCACAGTGGCACAACAGTAGCACAACACTTAGCAATGCTGGAAGTCACATGGAAGACAGGGGTTAAGTTCCCAGGTCAATATGTACATGTTAGGTGCTCACACACTGGCTGATCCTGCCTGAATGGGAAGGCTTTGCAGGTGAGAGGGTGGCTGTTATGGTGTGAGACCCTGTTGAGGATGCTTTTCTTTCTCTCATATGAAGAAAATAAATAAACTTTCTGAAAAATATTAAAAGATAATTAGCGGGGCCGGCAAGTGGCACGGTGGTTAAAGGCGCTGGACTCCCACATGGCCGACCACAGTTCAAGTCTCAGATCTGGTGGCTTGCTTTCTCACTTCCTCTCTCTCTCTGTGCCTCTCTGATCAAACTGGATAATAATAATAAATAAAGTTAAAACAAAATAATTCTTTAAAAAAAGATAATTAGTAATTGTAGTAATTCCTTTTTTTTTTTTAAAGTAGTATACACATTAAATTCTCTAAAACAGGGAAAAGCAAACTAAGGGCCAAGGGCCAAATTGGCTTGTTACCTACTTTTTTTTAAGGAATTATTTATTTAATTTTATTTATTCATTCATTTATTTTAATTCGACCAGACAGAAACAGAGAGAGAGAGAGAGAGAGAAAGTGAGAAAGCAAGCTACCAGGTCCAGCTGACCATGGCGTGGTCAGCCATGTGGGAGTGTCCAATGCCTTAACCACCATGCCACCTGCTGGCACCGGCCTCTTAAATACTTTAAAGTGTTACTGGAATGCAGCCAAGCTGATTCATTTACTTATTGTCTAGGGTTGCTTTTGAACTACAAGAAAGAGAATAGTTAAAACAGAAACTGTATAGAGCCAAGCTTAAATATTTACTATTTGGCCCTTTAGAAAGTGTTTGGCAACTTCGGCTCTAGAAGTTCAAAAAATGCTGTCTTAATGGTGACCTCCATCACGTAGCGTTGTTCTTTTTAAGCAACATCAACATATACTTGGATAATGTGCCAACTAGATAGAAGAACTCAATAAATATTTTCAAACCATGTAGCCAAAAGATAGTCTTCAGGTTCCATTTCATACCCTGTCCTAACTTTGATATAAATCTCTTACATGATCTCTGTTTGCTATTATTTACAAACTCCTAATGACTGTTTCAAGGACTAAGGATGAAGCAGGAAGACCTCTGAAGTGATAATTTCCTATAGGATCAGAACCACAATAATTATTTTTTTTAAAAAAGTATCTTACATTGTTAAGGCACCCTGCAGGTTACTTAAAGCAAACTGAACAGTCTATTTTATTAAAAAGCGGAACAAAACTTTAAAAGTACTGTTGCTTGGAATTTAATATAATTGATTATAAAATTGATTTAGATTTGCCTTTGGAAAAATATTGTTTGCTAACCTGATAACAAACATGGTTTCAACAAAACCGCTTAAAGGAAAATGCAGCTCTTTTAGAAAAATTTACCTAACATACCTCTATTATTGAGAAGAAGGCAAAAGATGATGATAGGCTTAACATACTCTATTGCCATGTGAATGATGCCCTGTGGCAGGTGATGTTTTCCTTTACTTTGGCATCACTACTGCCTCTCTTACTGCATTACTGAACAAGCAGCTTGTCAAATGCTGAGACTGCTGGGCTCAGTCTGGACTTTCAGAATCTACCTTTCTTCCCACCGGCATTCACCAGAGAGCCAAATGCACAATTCCATTTTAGACACAGGTACAAGATAGCCAGATGGCCACTAATGCCCTCTGGGACACCTTGTAGAGACTCTAATGCACACAGTGGTAACTGAGAGACAATTGCCCTGAAGTCTCCATTAAGTCAGAAAAACTCTCAAGAAGACAACATTGCCAATTTCTAGCAGCTACGCACCAAGCACTTCTGTTCCTTTCAGGGAAAGAACAGCACCTCTGAATCCCAACTTTGAAGCCTTTTTAATCCTTTAAAATGATTTTTCTTTGTCTTGCAATCTTCTGATTAGCTTTACCTTTCCTTTGAAAGCAGAGCCCTCCTTCACTTTGGTCCACCAAATTCCCTCTGTTCTCCTAGAAGCCCAGTTCAAAACTCTGCCCCTACTTCCTCCATTAAGTTTTTCCTAATCACACCCTGTGTTCCACAGTGAACCCTTCAGTTCCTTTGGCACTCACTAGTGACATTTCTTACTAAACAGTTTTAATTTCACTTTTTAAAGTAGAAAAAAAATTTTATTTACCAAGTTATGTATGATTTCTGTACTCATCTCCCATCTGCCAACTTAAACTGTTCTTCATGGTGGAGGCTACGGTATACTTCCTCATAATTCTCGCCTAAAATGCTACGGATAGACAAGGTACTCAGTAAATTTTTCATCACATTAAATATTGATTCTGAAAGGTATTTAAATGTAGTGCATTGTACAACTAAAAGAGGCTGAAATTCTTTTAACAATTCCTTTCCTTTTTTTTGGAGAGGTTTTTGCTATAGGGCGCGTGCGCTTGCCAGACAGACAGAGAGAGACAAAGAGACAGAAAGCAAGAAATCACCCCCCAGGGGGGATGGCCACGTCGCAATCCCTTCTCCGTTTTCTTCTCAGGATCTTGGGCACGCATGCACACATGCCCGGCGTGAGTTTAAGCCACCGGGTCCAGGACTCAAACCACGATCAACTATGTGGGAGTCCAGCAACATAGCCATTACATCAACTGCTGGTCCTATCTTTTAACAATTCCTTTCTAAGACCCTTCTCTAAATAATCTGAACCTCATGGTCCCATTGAACACCAAGTATCTTCAAGAGCTCTGAGCCTAACCATCTAATGACCAGTGCCCGGACCTGCTCTATGTAACTTTAGTCCTGGAATAGCATAGTCTCAGTCAGGCCTATCACAAAGCTGTTTTTCTTTCCCCCCCCCCCTTTTTAATTTTCTATAGGACATATGCACCTGCCAGATACAGGCAGAAAGAGAGAGGGAAGGAAGTAAGGTGAGAAAGCACCCACGGGGGGGTGGGGGGAGGCCATGCTGCAATCCCTTTTCCTGTATTCTCCTCTATGCACCCAGCATGTTTTTTAAGCTGGGTTTGGGACTAGAACTACATAGTCACCATGTGGGATCCAGCTGCCTTAACCATCATGACAGCCAGCCTCACAAAACTGTTTCTCTAGGGATAGAGAGTGGTAGTAAGCCAACTATGCTCTCCCTCATGTCACTCAGACAATCGTGACAGGATAATTGGCCCAAGATTAAGGATTTACTACCTTTAGTCAGCCACAAACTGTTAGAAGAGTTTGTGAGGAAAAAAGAGGTAACTCATCCATGTTTTTTTCCATCTAATCCTCAACAACTTTCTGTATTAGAATCATTCTTACATACCTGTTTTCAAGCAATGGACATTCTGACACGTATACATTTTACAATTCTATGAGACAAACCTTTAAACATACAGCATTTCTTTAGGACAAAGTAATGTGTGCAAGAGACAACCCTAAGACTTACCAAAACCCTGATTCAAAGCTTTGGAACACTGAGGTCATCTTAGACCTCCCAGGTTCAGTATTTGGTCTGAAGGATCCTAAAACTCCTTCCAGTGCTAACATTTTAAGTATTCTAAAGTTCTGGGAATACCAAAGTCTTCCTCTCTGCCTTCTTACTTGTTTTTACCCAAAAAGGCGACAAAGTATGTGCAGGCTGCATACTACGGACTAGTGGTTGAGGCTATTCTGTCACTAAGGCAGGAAACAACTCCTCTCAGACCTGCCCCCATATAGAATCCTTTCTCCTGCTCTTGCTCCATCCATTCAGGGAAAATCACTAAAATAAAATCCTTACTCCCAACCCTTGTAATTTGGCTGCCCCAACATTGACTGGATGGGTAGGTAAGAACTAGAGGAAAGTAAGCCACCCCTTATCTTTCTGGGGCCCTTCTACTGAGACAGCTGCAACAGCATCACCTGGGAAGAGAATCTTAGGCCCCATCCTAACCTACGAAACCAGATGCTCAAGCAAGCTGCATACACTTACATAGGTAAAACACTGATTGAGGGTCTAAGCCAGTACTGTCCAATGGGGTAGTCACATGTAGTTCTTTAAATTAGAGTCATTTAAAATTAAATAAAATCTAAAATTCAGCTCTTCAATCACAGCAGCTAAATTTTATGTTCTCTTCATGACTGGTGGAACAGATACAGAACATGTTCATTTCCATGGAAAGTTCTATTGGATAGTACACCAAGCAATGTACCAATCCAACTTTGGTAGTGAACCCTACATATCAAGGTGAATAAAAGCTGACACTTGATTTTAATCCAACCCCACTCGTGAGTCCATTTCTCTTACAGAAGGGGATGATTAATAGGTTCCACCAAGCCCCACTATCAGGGGAGCAAACACACTGGATGAAAACTGATCCTCTACCCCCAATATAAGTACCTTTGAACTAAATGTCTAAAAAGTTTCCAATGGCAAACTCCTTTGTAACTAAAAGATTAGATGGCAAAGCTAAGTGTTAAATAATGAAGGATACTC